TGATAGAAGCATTCTTAAACATACACATAAAACAATACAATACAATACATGCATTACATCCACATCCTCCCCCCCTCCCTTTTTTTTCAATCTATTTTTGCTGTGCTTAGAGTTATAAACATGCTTGTATTGCCACAACAGTGGGTACAAGCTAGTGAAAAAATACAGGGTAAACAGTGTCATTACAGACGATAACAGCACAATTTTTTAGTTAGTAGAATCAGGTTATGTATAGAATAGTAGAAAAAGCATTATAGGTACGTCCGTGGTGAGAGAAAGCTTTTTATACAAGATGGTTTTTGCTGAAACAATGCAATATGACACATGTTTAGTCATTGCATATGAGAAAATAAATTACTGTACATGAATAAAACACGCTATGAAGTTTTCAGATTATAGGTGTGATGTAATAGATAAACAAGCTAAATTAAAATAGAGAACAAAGTTATACTGCAGGATTTTTAACAAGAAAGAGGTCTATCTCAACACTGGAGATACAGGAGACTGCTATGGGCGCACATAAAAGTTGCTTTATTGTAGTCATCCAATTCCACGAGGAGGCAACGTTGAAAAATTAATCTTCAGGTATGCTATCGTTTCTCATTCCCACTGGGCACCACTGAAGCATCCGCTTCTGTTGCTGGTGTTTCCTGGAACTAAAACGCCACAGCTGTGCACGGTCTCGAGCCCGGGCCTTATGGGGAGCCTGTTCCCTATGTCCCGGGGTCCTTCTCCTCCAGGAAGCAGGATCATGGGTCCGCAAGAGCTTCAGGACTCTCCAGGTGTGTGGACGGTGGGTCGAATGCGGTTCCGATTGGGCTCCCAGCCTGGAAGAAGCAGAGTGAGCTGGAGTGCTTCTCTGGGTCGCCGGTTCTGCGGGGAGGTGAGTCCGGCAGCTTATGCAATGTAATTTACCCCCATCAAAGCATATATTTTTGAAAAGTAGACACAGAGTATTTCAAATGGTGGTATTTTAACACTTTCCATGCACTAATTCTACCACCAGTCTTTGTCAAACTTTTGGGTAGTCATTTTGTTGTGTTATTTTTCTCTCACATTGTATTTTATGCATAGATTCTCAGCTCCTGTTAGGTGTTGTACTGACTATTGTTGCAGATTGCTACCTTTTTCCATTTTGTTGCACTTCCTATCTAGGGACTGGGTCGTATTGTTACAGTTTATCGTTACAACATATCTCTGGTATGGCAACTTACCAGTATATTTACAACTTATTCCTAGTGTTTTTTCATTCAGATTTTTACCACTTAGATCCTTTTGACTATATAGCAATTGTATCGCAAATTTACTGCAATTTCTTTTCCCCTTTTTCCCGTGCCTTTAGGTTATTCTGTTTTAATTATACCTATTAAATGTTATATTTTAACTCTTTATTATAATAGTGGTACAGGTCATGTTTTTCTGTTTTCCTATTTACAAATTTTCTCCAAGGGTTATCCCCTAGTGTCTGTCCTAGATACTCTTAATATAGTATTAGCTTCCTACATGTCCTCTTTGGAACATTTATTTGGCAAATAATGGCATATAATTGTATATTCACATAAGATCATCTATAGAGGATCCCGCAGTCTTGCAGTCAATACAATTGTTTTATGGGGGCCGTAAGCCAAGCTGGCCCAGGGGCCCATTAATATTAAAGGTAGGGTTCTGCATTAATTTGTGAAATAGGCATGAATATTATCTTCCAGAGAAAATGCCTTTGTCAGTAGTTTTAACAGACCTTGTTGAATGAAATCCCAGGTGATTTTACAAAGCAAACAATATGATTAGGAGGAGTTTTCTTTTCTGTAACACAAGTGGAACTGACACTCAAACCTGTTTATCCATTTCACATCGTATACCTGTATTTACATTGTAAAGGTTCCTTTCAAATGCTGCATGCTCTAGGCTATCTGATGTCTCTGAGCTCTTCATAAATAATATATGCATAAATAAATGTCTCAATCCATGACCAGAAAACACATGGCTATGAATTATTATTTATATAGATCTATCATGTTATGCAGCATTATACAATAGAAATGTAGAATCTCAAACCTTACTATTTATGGCACGGTGACACATTTTACATTCTGTATCCTATAAATGCTGGGCACACTAAGAGGTTGCTAAGGGAACCGGTCCAAGCAGTTGGTATGTGGCCTAGCGGTATCTGTACCCAAATCTTATTTATCACACCAGTTCTCTATACATTTAGAAAACTAGGCACGGACAGTAGAAGCTGTATGGCTGTGAAAAACTACGTCTTGCACTATTTTCATCACTTCATTACTCTGTCTATGTAGATTGCAGGTCCAATGGGATGGCTGGAGTGAAAGAAATCTACTATATAAGAAGTTCTTAATTTTATTCCAATTCTTATTAAGAGACAAATATGGCCAGCTCCGTGTGAGTACACCATGAATCTACAATATACTGATGGAAAGTCACTGTATACAATGGCCCAGAAAGCTCAGGTGAAATATACAGCACATCTGGCCATGTGGAAGGAGTTACTTCAAAGTCTCCACGGTAACAGAAAGTGCAGAGGTACAAGTGGTGCTTTCACTCCTGCAAATTAGCTCTTAGTTATCCCATTATTCCTGGAATTGTGGAAACTAAGCATTCATATGTCACTTGTGTATGATTGTGATCCTGAAGAAGGACTTATCTCTGCTATTTTAAGGGCTGATTCAGTTCCAATTTATGTAAGGCATATATTAGTCTATATTTATTCAGGGAGGGAAAAGACAGTTCTGTTCTTCCCACTTAATGCTCAACAGCTATTAGCCACCTGCTATCCTTCTAAAATACTTTCTCTTGGTTTACAAAGTGTTCTCCTAATTAAGTCTCTGATGCTCAGGGAACATGAACACTCGATCCTATATGTGCTAAAAAATATTTATTATTCTGCTTACTAATCAATCATTAAATTATAGAGTACACCACACCATAATATTTGCAAAATATTCAACCAAAGAGACACATGTCTCTTATTGATTGCTACAAGCATGTCTTGCATTCTACATTTTATGTTTGCCCATCTTAATGGCAAACTTTTTATTGATCTTGGAAGGAAGAGTTGACTTTGCTGGGAATCAAACCAGTTATTCTGAGGTACTATAACCATACCCACTGAAATATCTTATCTGACATATTCTTATTTAGTAATTTCGCTATTTTCCAAATAAACAATACAAGAGGGGTTAATTCACTAAATGTTGCTTTATAGTAAACACAAATCAATAATATAATGCAAAGTTAGGCAAAAAACTGCTGATTTGTAAAAACCATAAACAAGATCTCAACCACAGTAACAGCTTGGCTACACTAATCTAAATTTTGCAATTAGTTTAAGTAAAGGGACTTATTGCGCACCAAAACAACTTTAGCTCAGTTGAGTGGTTTTGGTGTATAGATCATGCACTTGCATTCAAACTGCTAAATTAACAGAGCAGAAAATAAAAACTTCTAAAGTGAACATACTGTACTGATAGAAAATGAACACATGTTTCCATGCAGGCTGTGTGAATCATGGCCAGGAGAGGTGTGACTAGGTCTCCATAAACAGAAACAAATGTGATTTAACTCCTAAATTGCAGAGAATTGAGCAGTGAGACTGCAGGGGCATGATCTATACACCAAAACTGCTTCATTTAGTGAAAGTTGTAATGGTGCTTAGAGTGTCCCAGAAAAAGTGTTTAGTGGGGAGTCCAGACTTCATATCCCTAAATATGCATTTTAAAGGAGATTGGGGGTAAACCTTCTAACAATTTAAAGCTATTCCTAATTGAATGTGTACTCAAGAAAGCATTTTAATCCCTTAAGGACACATGACATGTGTGACATGCCATGACTCCCTTTTACTCCAGAAGTTTGGTCCTTAAGGGGTTAAGTATGACATACAAGTGAAAAGGGAGCTTACACCAAGTAGCTCAGTAGATTAAACACCACCTTTCATAATTATTCATCTCTCATGGTCACTTATACACTTCCCGGCATAGTCACCAACATCATTTCATCATTCCAAGTTCCATGAGTACCACTGACTTAGGTAATATTTACTAAATCTATTAGTCATCAGTAGAACACCTGTGTAAAAAAAAGTGCAATATAGCAAAGTATCTCGTAGGCTCAAGTAGCATTGAATTCGTACAAGAAATAATAAAACAAAATGCTGGTGTTACAATCAAGAAAATTGGTAAGTGTACACAAATACTACGGGGGGAAAAAATCACATCAGCTCTCAATAAATAAAAATGATGACTATTTTGGTTGCAGCCTGTAACATTACATCAGTGATGCTGTTGTTTCTAAGAAGTAGCTGGTAACCACGAACCTGCCATATAGTAATATCTGCTTCTTCTAAAATTGGTCATGTGTCTGTGAGTCTATACACAGACTATATATTAATCTAATGCCTGCCAAACCTTGGACATGGTCCAGCACTTGAAGATCTTTCTTAAGATTTACCTACTAAAAGGAACCATGTGGTGATTACATTCACAAAGCAGCCACTTCAATGGACCTGCGCACTGGGGCCACTGCTGGCGTATTAAATAGGATGTGATTGATAGCATATGCAACTGCATTGCTTCATGTGTTTCTGTTCAACAAGTGTACTCTCTAGTGCTGGGTTCCAGCTCTATATCTCCCATATATATATTTATTCTTTGGCATTGTATTTGTATTTTCTGCTCAGTTGAGATTGTTGGGATTATTCTATTTCTTTATGTCTGTTTGTCTCCCCCCCCCCCCCCTCTCTATTTTATTCCATTATCCATTCATCACAGCACCCAGGGTCTGATCTCCCAGCAGTCCCAGTTCTCTCTCCTACCTCAAGCATCTCCCCCATACCCCTCGGTGGTGCCCTCCCCTCGCCCTCCCTTGCAATAAGGCAGCAGCAGGGTGTTGCTGTTGATGCTGTAGTCGGGGAAGGGGTGGTGACGTCACAGTCTCTGCTCATCAGCAGCTGCAGCTCCGGGGAACAAAACCCAGAGCAAGGGGCAGAATCCGGGACTGCCCCTCCCAGCCTGCCTCCCCACACACCGTCTCCGGCAGTAAGAGCACCCCGCTTCCAGCCACCACAGGCGGGGATTCCCTCCACATCACGCCCCGCTCCTTTCTAAGCAGGAGCACACTGTATGCGGGGCTCTCATAGCTGGGATCGGTCCAGGACCCCCAAACAAGCCCCCCTCCTCCCTCCGATATCGGGGAGCCCCTCTCCGCCGCGGGATCCCCGGCCTCGGGATGTGCCCGGACTGGTGAGGATTACTATGGGCTGTATCGGGAGCCGGAGCAGCGGGACCGGTGAGAGGAGGATGGAGGGATGGATGGTCTGGGTGTGCGGCTAGACATGTGCACAACATGCAGTGTGACAGTAGACATATGCAGCATTGCATGCAGTGTGACAGCATAGTGGGTACCTGTGATGGGTCTCTGCATCCAGTGTGAGAGTATACCATATACAGTGTGATTAATGTACCATGCACAGTGTGAGAGTATACCATGCACAGTGTGATTAATGTACCATGCACAGTGTGAGAGTATACCATGTACAGTGTGATAGTATACCATATGCAGTGTGAGAGTATTATACCAAATACAGTGTGATAATATACCATATACAGTGTGATTAATGTACCATGCACAGTGTGAGAGTATACCATGCACAGTGTGATTAATGTACCATGCACAGTGTGAGAGTATACCATATGCAGTGTGAGAGTATTATACCAAATACAGTGTGATAGTATACCATATACAGTGTGATTAATGTGCCATGCACAGTGTGAGAGTATACCATATACAGTGTGAGAATATACCATGCACAGTGTGAGAATATACCATGCACAGTGTGATAGTATACCATGTACAGTGTGAGAGTATACCATGCACAGTGTGAGAGTATACCATGCACAGTGTGATAGTATACCATATACAGTGTGATTAATGTACCATGCACAGTGTGATTAATGTACCATGCACAGTGTGAGAGTATACCATGCACAGTGTGACAGTATACCATGTACAGTGTGACAGTATACCATATACAGTGTGACAGTATACCATATACAGTGTGATAGTATACCATATGCAGTGTGAGAGTATTATACCAAATACAGTGTGATAATATACCATATACAGTGTGATAATATACCATACACAGTGTGATTAATGTACCATGCACAGTGTGATAGTATACCATGCACATTGTGATAGTATACCATGTACAGTGTGACAGTATACCATGTACAGTGTGATAGTATACCATATGCAGTGTGAGAGTATTATACCAAATACAGTGTGATAATATACCATATACAGTGTGATAATATACCATACACAGTGTGATTAATGTACCATGCACAGTGTGATAGTATACCATGCACATTGTGATAGTATACCATGTACAGTGTGACAGTATACCATGTACAGTGTGATAGTATACCATATGCAGTGTGATAATATACCATGTACAGTGTGACAATATACCATGTACAGTGTGATAATATACCATATACAGTGTGACAATATACCATGTACAGTGTGATAGTATACCATATGCAGTGTGATAATATACCATGTACAGTGTGATAATATACCATGCACAGTGTGACAGTATACCATGTGCAGTGTGATAGTATACCATGTACAGTGTGACAGTATACCATGTACAGTGTGACAATATACCATGTACAATGTGACAGTATACCATGTACAGTGTGATAGTATACCATGTACAGTGTGACAGTATACCATGCACAGTGTGATAGTATACCATGCACAGTGTGATAGTATACCATATACAGTGCTGGGTCTGTCCATCCAGTATGATATTATACCATGCACCAGTGTGATAGTATACTATTTACAGTGTGATTGTATACCATGTACTGTGTGAGAGTATACCACACAGTGTGAGAGTATACCATGTACTAGTGTGACAGTATACCATGCACAGTGTGATAGTATTCCATGCACAGTGTGATAGTATACCATTCATCAGTGCTGAGTCTGTTTTGTGACAGTACACCATGCACAGTGTGATAGTATACCATGCACAGCGAGACAGTATACCATTAATCAGTGCTGCGTGTGTCCATCCAGTGTGATAGTATACCATGTACAGTGTGATAATATACCATGTACAGTGTGACAGTATACCATGTACAGTGTGATAATATACCATGCACAGTGTGATAGTATACCATGCAGTGTGATAATATACCATGTACAGTGTGACAGTATACCATTTGTCAGTGCTGAGTCTGTTGTGTGACAGTATACCATGCACAATGTGATAGTATACCATGCACAGCGAGAGAGTATACCATTTATCAGTGCTGCGTCTGTCCATCCAGTGTGATAGTATATCATGTAAAAGTGTGATTGTATACCATGTACCGGTGCTTTGTTTATCTATCCAATGTGATAGTATACCATGTACCAGTGTAATAGTATACCATGTACAGTGCTGCATCTGTCCATCAAGTGTGATAGTATACCATGTGCAAGTGCTTGATCTGTCCATCCAGTGTGATAGTATACCATGTACAGTGCTGAATCTGTTTATCCAGTGTGATAGTATACCATGCACCAGTGTGATAGTACACCATGTACAGTGCTGGGTCTGTCTATCCAGTGTCATAGTATACCATGTACAGTGCTGGGTCTGTCCATCCAATGTAATAGTATACCATGTACAGTGCTGGGTCTGTTTATCCAGTGTCATAGTATACCATGTACAGTGTAAGAGCAGTGTTATGTACTATGTACCATTGTTTTTATTGTGCTTGTGATATGTTAGTGTGAGAACATACTATGTACCAGTACTGGATCTTTGCATGCAGCGAGTGTCAGTTTGAGAACATACTATGTACAGAGATGTGTGAGAACATACTATGTACCAGTGTTGGGATTCTGCAAACAGTGTGTCATTATGAGAGCATTCCATGTACCGGGTATAGGTTTCTGTATGCAGTGTGCCAGTGTGGTAGTGCTAGCTTATCTCTGTTCACCTCAGGACCACAACACCCTGCCAGCCCTAACCCCCTGCAGTGCATGAGATGATGTCCACTGCTCTGGCTCAGTTGGGCTCATAGTGTACCACAGTGGGGGCTAATGCTTTGCAGAATGGGCTGATGCTCTGGCAAGTTTGTGAATCTGTGCTCTCCTCTCTGTGTTTGATGACTTTGTGATGTTTGTGAAGTTCAGGTGAATGCTCAGCAGGTTCTGCCAGGATGTGGAAAATATTCTGTATGCTTAACAAAGGGTGATGACTGAGGTTAATGCTATGTTTGCTCTTTTATGATGCTGTCAATTCTACAAGGCGCTAACTAAGATAGCGTTAACATTCTGTTGGTCCTGAAGAGAAATGTCAGATTTTTGTAGTGTGGACTTTATCACCAATAGGTTAATACTTGATGAATGCTGTCAGCGTTAGATTACTGGTTTTCAGCCATTGGCATGTGTGATATTAATGCTCTGCAACTAATGGCAATAACAGCAATAAAGCAATGCCTATGGTGGTATACAGTGTGTACAGCTCACAGGGAGTCATTCATTATCTTCGTGTTTTCATACGGGGGGATTTTCAAAGCTCTTTAATGTTGGGTACCTGAGCATACTCTTGTTCGGAGGTGTTGATAAATATGGTAGGAGTTAACACGTTGATAATATGGCTGCAGTGTATACATCTGAACTTGGGTAGAATTGATGTGACCATTCTTATTGAAGTATTATTAATGGCAACGAGATAATGGACATGGCTGGAATACAGCTGTAAGTGGCACGTATGTTAGTAGTATTTAACATTAGGCACTGATGATACCAACTGGAGCAGGGAAGCATTCATTATAAACACTTACAATTGTTGTGCTGTTCATTGTCACAGGGTGAGGTGGGATTGGAAGTATGGAGGTCCAAGCTTGGCATTTATAAGACAAGTAGTTTGGAATGTTTCTGGTAGAGCTGTTGGCTAGATGCCTTACAGGGTTAAACTGTATTGCATGGTTAGTGATATAGAGATAGTATGGCTAGTGATATGGGGATAGTATGGCTAGTGATATGGAGATAGTATGGCTAGTGATATGGGGATAGTAGGGCTAGTGATATGGATATAGTATGGCTAGTGATATGGCGATAGTATGGCTAGTGATATGGCGATAGTATGGCTAGTGATATGGCGATATTATGGCTAGTGATATGGCGATATTATGGCTAGTGATATGGAGATAGTATGGCTAGTGATATGGGGATAGTATGGCTAGTGATATGGAGATATTATGGATAGTGATATGGAGATAGTATGGCTATTTATATGGATATAGTATGGCTAGTGATATGGAGATAGTATGGCTAGTGATATGAAGATAGTATGGCTAGTGATATGAAGATAGTATGGCTAGTGATATGGAGATAGTATGGCTAGTGATATGAAGATAGTATGGCTAGTGAGCTGAAGATAGTAGGCTAGTGAGCTGAAGATAGTTTGACTAGTGATATGGATATAGTATGGCTAGTGATATGGAGATAGTATGGCTACTGATATGAAGATAGTATGGCTAGTGATATGGAGGTAGTATGGCTACTGATATGAAGATAGTATGGCTCTGGTATATTGAATTGTTACAGTAGAGTACTGACTTAGTTATTGGATGTAAAAGCAGTACATAATTCAGGTAACATTGAGGTAATGATATGTAAGTTTAGAGACGAGCTAGTTCTGTCTTTTTGGAACATCTGACTGTGACTGTTCCTTGTGTGCAGGGTATTTATTATGCAGGACTAGTTAGTGTGAGTTGGTGCTCAGAATATCTAGCCTGAATCAGGGGGTATATTGGCTCAAAGTATTGGCATGAGTAGCATATAGTTTAATGCATGCATTAGATTAAAGTTGAACAGTGTCATCTTAAAACAAATACACATCTACCATCCCTAATAGGAGTCTACCTTTTAAATGAACATCTGCCGGCATACAGTCTGTAATATGCAGCAAGATCCCAGTCTAAGGCCCCTCATGAAAGCCTTCAGGATTCAAAACAGCCTTCAAGCAATAGTTAAACTTTGTTTCTTAACCACAGGCAGCCAAGATGTTAAAGTCTATAATGGTAAAAAGCACGTTGTGGACTAGAAAGGGGCATTAACGGCAGTAGGGTACAAAAACAGACAATATTTGTTGATCATATTCGTGTTTGGTCTTTTGTACCTGCATTACAGACATGATAGTGTCAAGGGTCACAGTATATAAATCTTTATACCATCTTCTATTGACCATTATTTTAGGATAATACTCTGCAAGCGGAGTCAAAGAGGCAACTGCAGTTGTGCTATGACTCAGGAAAAGATTGATGCTCTGCATGCTATGGCAAGATGTGGTTTGCTCTGAAATAAGACCTGGCCAGCTGTGCCATTATAAGGTCAATGCTGTGTGTGCTCTAACAAGGAGTTTTTAATGAGCTACTTTGCAAAGTCCTGTCCAGTTACACCGTGTCACACATAAACACACACAGATCTATAAAAGAACACTGTTCTCTTCCATCTCGTCATTTAATCCTATCAACCCTCTTGGTAGCAGCTGGGTCATTTTCACCCTGCAGTCTACTCCTGAGGCCTTATTTGCCCATTCACAGTATTCAAGTCTCTCTTTCCTAGCAGTGACCTTTTTTCTCTCTTCTTTGGAGGCAAAATCTTTGCTAACTTTGTGATTCTTCTCTTTTTATCTGCTCACCATCAGTATCTTAATATCTATTTGTTTAACCCTGTAGCTAGTGGCCTCTCATACCCTCCATCTATTGGTGTCATATTTGCATACTTTGTTAAAAAACTATATTTTTTTGATTCTCATATTGCATTTTATGGAAAGACCACTCACCAGTCCTCCATGGTACCTTCCTGTCTTCTTATTGTTTATTACGAGACCATACACTCCTCCCTGTCTTCTTATTGTTTATTACGGGACCATACACTCCTCTTCTGCTGGTCAGTGGAGTGACCACCTTTGGCTCCTGTTTTTTCTTTTCCTGCAAAGGCTTTTTCCAACTTTTCGATAATCGATTCTTATTTTGGCCTTGAGGTCTTCTCTCTTCAGTTATGGCTACTCTCTCTACACTTTGATATCTCATTATTCAGTGTGACATCTTTTTTTCCATCTTCATATTTTTCATTATACTTTTTATTTATTAGGGCTTCTACACTAGTGTTCGTCTCATGGGACCCAGTCTTTCCTTCCTTACACAGGCCCTTGTTCTCTGAGGTACCACAAGGAGGAGGGTACTTGTGGTATCCTGGGTGTTGCATGTGTTTACAATTCGGCAGATTTTTCTTGCACTGTTTATCTCACATCAGTGGGACCAAGCTATAAGCAGGTACGTACCGTTCAGCTGATTTCAGCTGTTCACAAATATGCATAATATTTTAGGGAGGGATTCGCTTAAAAAAATAGGGAAAAGAATTGCATGATGGGGGTTACATGGGCATATATGCTGGGTAATAGATTAGTTAAGACATAATTTACAAATCATTGTTACAATCCTGACAATCCTTGTCCCTCCTGCAGCTTTTGGAATAAATTCTCATGATTCTGTGCCAGGAAACCATAAGGTATCCAATTTAAGAACAAGCATAAGGATTCTATCAACATCAAGTCATTTTAAGCATATTCCACTAAGGCTGAATCTAGTTAAGTGTTAGTTGCATTTTGTTAAATATATTAGCTTAAATTGAAAGAGGGACATAAACACATTGCTGTCTTATAGCAGGAGACACAACTAACAGGCAGCTTTTAATGCAGTGCGGTTGTACTCTGCAGCAGGGTTAATGTGCAGTGTCATCAGACAGAGTTACAAGCAAACATGCAATGTTGCTAGACAATGTCAGAGGTTATGGTTGTCAGATGTAATAGACATTCATATGCAATGCTATAACACACAACTGGGTATACTTGTAAACTGCTAGCAGGCACAGATGGAGGCAGAGCTGCCAACCACTGAAAATGAGTTTCACTTACTGCTGGGTTATTTACTAAGCAGGGTATTGCGGAGAATTGACAAGGGAATATTTTTTCAGCAAAAAAAAAACCTAAATTGGAAAAATTCTGAAACTCAGCTGTTTTTCCAGCTCAGCCTTTTGGTATAAATAATACATTTTTACATTGTTAGTTCCCTCGTCCATTCGCCATAATTTAAAATTTAGAACAATCCCATGTGTGTTAAACTGTTGACAGCACAATCATTTTCTAAATTATATAACGGAACAATATCCAATATTACCATATGTTTGTGATTAAAATGATAGGCAAATATGTCCACACTGATCCCATCACAGTCTAACTCCCATCACAAACAAACACTTACTCCCACTATGCACAAATACGGGGACAGCATATATAGTCTTTCCTTGTTAGTCCTTCCCTAACACATTGTCATCAGTCTTGACAGGAAATTGTAATCTTTTTGCCTCCGAGGCACAAATAACTATTCATAACTGGGTTTATGTGAATGGACTATGAGGTCAGCACTCGATGTCAGCATTGGGGAATATTTCCTGGATGCTGCATGGGTTTTGTCTACAAATATTTCTATTACCCAAACCAGCATTGGCGTGTGCAGCACATTTTATTACCATTTACATAAGGTATTTTTTTTATAATTAAAGGAGAATATTTATCGAAAGCTGAACTATCATATGGGTTAATTCTATTTATCAAACATGCTAAAAGTGTAGCTATTTTACTTTTTAAACTACTAGAGAAACACTTGCAAAACAAACTTCAGAAATAAAGTAAAACCATATCTAATGATAAGCATCATTTACTAAGATAAATTACTCGTCTTTGACAGGTTAATTAGATATTTCAAATGGATAGAGATTTGAAGACAATTGAGAGCTGTATTTGTATGTACCTGGGCACACCTGTTATACACATTCTCCATCTTTATACACCATTTCACAAACTACTGTCATTCAGTATCTCCGTGTCAAGGTTACTGTGTAAGAGGTGCTTTTGGACAGAAGAAAATCACTGTTATAGGTTCACAGCTAGCACTGCGTAGATGATCTTCTGTAACGTAGAACTGCACAATAATGTCCATTTACTCCAGACATCACTGTGTATCAACTACTGCTAACATCTTCCATTGACGTTTTAACTGATAATTTGAATGAATTACCCGTATTTTCCGGCGTATAAGACGGCTGGGCGTATAAGACGACTGGGCGTATAAGACGACCCCCAACTTTTCCAGTTAAAATATAGAGTTTGGGATATACTCGCCGTATAAGACTTCCCCTCTTCCAAAGCACACCAAATAAAAATTAGCCATGATGTACAGTGAGCAGACAGAGCTACACAGCAAGACATTGAATAATGATATTCTGAAATAGCATTTAAAGCCCAGGTATGTGCCAGACTGTTTGGGCATATAATCCATGCCTGCTGGTCTAGCACACAGGCGGCTAATTGCGATATATTCTTTTTACTCCCCCCGCCCAATCCTCCCTACGTTCTTCTCACCTCCCCTTCCCTGTGCAGAGTGGGTGGCCGAGCTCCTCTTCGTCCTGTCAGTCCGGCCGGGTACCGCGCGGTACAGGAGATTCAGTTACCGGTTCCCGGCCGGACTGAAAGGAAGTGAGCACTCAGTGTGCACTTCCTTTCAGTCCGGCAGGGAACAGATAACTGAATCTCCTGTACCGCGCGGTACCCGGCTGGACTGACAGGACGAAGAGGAGCTCGGCCACCCACTCTGCACAGGGAAGGGGAGGTGAGAAGAGAGGCAGTGCGGCAGCCGTCTGAGCGCTCTCTATAGAGCGCTCAGGCGGCTGCAGCATTAGAAGGGCCGGCGATGGGGGCGCAGGGCGCCCCCGGCAGCCATATAGACCCTATACCCGGCGTATAAGACGACCCCCGACTTTGGAGAAGATTTTCCAGGGTTAAAAAGTCATCTTATACGCCAGAAAATACTGTATTTTAAGCAAATTAAATCCCATTAACAGCCGTATAAGCACATCTATGAATGATTACTATACGCACTTGTAATGTCATATTCATGTACTGGCACACTTTTCCATCTATGAATTGAATGGGAAGCTAGTTATTGGCCAAGGAAACCCACTTAGTTTTTTCATGACCGCATGTATACAGGAGGCAGATTTAATCTCTGTGAATATCTGTATAATTCGACATTTACAGATTAGTATCCTTGCTTATAAAATAAAAATAATATGCAGGTAAAGCATTAAAGAGAATTCTGCAGTTCATTGATGTGGGTGGACGGATCAGCGTTGGAATGTCCCTTTAATGCGCAGTGTTATCAGACCGAGCTGCAGAGTTCTTATCAGAATGTCACCTCGGTTAGAATGCAGTGCTTTTCAATAATTGTGAATATTATGGTCAGATATAACTGACATTATTTTACATTGTTGTCTGGTGTTTGCAGTGTTAGCTAAAAACTAGGTATTGGTTTGCACAATATCTGATACAGCTGGCATTTGCTTTTCACTGTTATTAGATGCACAGTTTCAGTGCTATTTTGTAGGGTTATAGTATAATGCAGTGCTGTCTCATAGTTTATTACACTGTTGTCAGATACAGCCGGTAATTGGTTTGCAGTGTTGTCAGATGCAAGTTGAAAAAGTTTGCAGTTATCCAAAAGCTGGAGAAGCAGTGCCATCAGATGGACTTGGTGAACAATCTGCATTAGAATGCAGTGTTATCATATGGAGATTTCAGTTATTGTAAGGGTTCCAATGTTATGAAACTGTGAGGTCCACTAATGAGATGACAATAGGGGTTCATGCTGTTAAGTAAAAAAATGTTTAGCTCTACGTGATTATGTGACCTTAAATAGTGGTATACTGCAACAAAATAAATAACTGCACCTGATTTATTAAAAGAACACTCAAGGCACCATAATAATTGAAGCATGCTGTACTGGTTATAAGGCCAGGTGTGCATTAGTCAAAATGTTTGCTAAAGGTTTGACAATTTAGCTGGGGTTCAGTGGAATGGCAGACGTGCTCGGTGGACTCATTGGTAAGTAGTCTTTATTGGTAAGTCGTCTTCATTGGCAAGTAATCTTCATTGGTAAGGAGTCTTCCTCCATGTAGAGTTGGAAGCTCTAGCATGAAGTTTTCATTAGTCCTTCTCAGTTTTAGGGCCAGCTGATTGGGGTAGAGTGTTACCTGATCACTCTCTACCAATGAGTTAAGCCCTGCACTACCTGGCTTATCTTAATGCAGAGAACATCTGACTTTCATAGAGGATGTGGCTGGTGTCGAGTGGACCCCAGCTAAATTATCAAACTGTTAGGAAGCAATTTGCGTACTTACAATGGCTGAGGCACCAGTGTACTTCTGGCACCATAATCACTTGAGCATGCTGTAGTGCTTATAGTGCTTGGAGGGTTCTTTTAATTTGGTGTAACTTAATGCATCGGCTGTTCAGGAATTGTTTCTACTAAGTTTAATACAAAACTGGATAACTGAGTTGAGATGCCATTTAAAATGCTACTTTATAAATCGTTTGGTGTGCCTTGAAATTTTGCACAGCTGGGATTAGTGCATATAAGATATTGAAAAAGATTAGAGCTCAGTATCATCAGACATTTGAAAATTTAAAATGTTATCAAACAGAATTAGAGATTATCAAAGTAGGCAATCAAACAAAACTAATAATTAAAGTGCAGTGCTGTTACTCGAAATGATAATTAGAGTGCAGTGCTGTCATATAAAACAGATTCATTAATACGGTTTTCACGACCCGGTAGTCCTTCGGAGCCCAGAAGCCCAGGCCCACATTCCCAATGTGCACATACATATATAGTGGTTATTGCTAAATATATATGATGCTGTGGGCCCCTAGTTGCCTATGTAGTGAAGAGGGGGCCCAGCACACAGCTTCAAGAAGCTCTCTCTAACTATTATGAGCTACCTGGCTGTCAGAGCGTTGCCACGGGTTACCATGGCAATGCTCTGAGTGACATTCAGACTTGGCTCGTGAGAGTTGGAGAGAGTAGCTGCTGGAAGCTGAAGATGGTTTGTGCAGGATCCCCTCTTCACTACACAGCAGCCTGCATAGTGTCACCGGACCACTAGTGAGTGTAATCGCCCCTCTACCTGACCACAGGTTAAAGGCAAAGAAGGAATAATAAAATGAATACTAACAATTAAAAAACAACAACACTTTTTTCCTACAGAATGTAGCCCCTATCTAACCCCACATATATACACAGACACACACTGCATCCACTATACAAATACACACACTGCATCCACTACATACACTGCACCCATACTCACACACACAAACTGCATCCACAACACACACACTGCATCCACTATACACATATTGCATCCACTACACAAACATACACACACTGCATTCCGCAAACCCCAGTACTCCTTCAAAACATGTTTTAATTAATGTTCACAAAGTATGCCTAACCCAATCTTATTCGTGTGGGCTATATAAACTAAGGGGAGTCTCCCCCATTCCCCCATTATAGTATATCAGCAGATATGTGGGCTATAAAAATTAAGGGAAGTCTCTCCCATTCCCCCATTATAGTATATCATTAGAGATGTGGGCTATATAAATTAAGGGAAGTCTCCCCCATTCCCCCATTATAGTATATCATTAGAGATGTGGGCTATATAAAATAAGGGAAGTCTCCCCCATTCCCCCATTATAGTATATCAGCAGAGCTGTGGGCTATATAAATTAAGGGAAGTCTCCCCCATTCCCCCATTATGGTATATCAGCAGAGCTGTGGGCTATATAAATTAAGGGAAGTCTCCGCCATTCCCCCATTATGGTATATCAGCAGAGCTGTGGGCTATATAAATTAAGGGAAGTCTCCCCCATTCCCCCATTATAGTATATCAGCAGAGCTGTGGGCTATATGAATTAAGGGAAGTCTTCCCCATTCCCCCATTATGGTATATCAGCAGAGCTGTGGGCTATATAAATTAAGGGAAGTCTCCCCCATTCCCCCATATTGGTATATCAGCAGAGCTGTGGGCTATATAAATTAAGGGAAGTCTCTCCCATTCCCCCATTATAGTATATCAGCAGAGCTGTGGGCTATATAAATTAAGGGAAGTCTCCCCCATTCCCCCATTATAGGGCTATATCAATTAAGGGAAGTCTCCCCCATTCCCTCATTATAGTATATCAGCAGAGATGTGGGCTATATAAATTAAGGGAAGTCTCTCCCATTCCCCCATTATAGTATATCAGCAGATCTGTGGGCTATATAAACTAAGGGAAGTCTCTCCCATTCCCCCATTATATTATATCAGCAGAGATGTGGGCTATATAAATGAAGGGAAGTCTCCCCTATTTCCCCATTATAGTATATCAGCAGAGATGTGGGCTATATAAATGAAGGGAAGTCTCTCCCATTCCCCCATTATAGTATATCAGCAGAGCTGTGGGCTATATAAATTAAGGGAAGTCTCCCCCATGCCTCCATTATATTATATCAGCAGAGATGTACTTGAAAAACTGCTCCATAGATTCTGTCACAGGGACTGTTTGGGGGTGTTTGGGGGCAATAAGTGGATGCGTGTAAAGGCCTTTTGTCCCACTCCCACCAGTCTGACAATATTTATACTAAAGTGTGATTTTATTAGATATAACTCTCAGATTTTAAAGAATATTTGAGAATATGTTCCCCTGTCCTTGCCATCTCACACTTTCTTCTCACAAATCTTCCCCTTATCTTCAATAATAGCCCTCTCTTATTGTCCTGCTCATTTCCCTAGTTGTACACTATTAAGGATCTTTTTGGGTTTATGTGTCAGTGATTCTTTTGCTACTAACGACATCCCTGATGTCCAGAACTTTCTGTTTTCCTTCAAGGGTACTCTCCCCATGTGTGAATATTGATATCTCTAATCAAATATTTACTTATTGTTCTGCTTCATTATATTCTTTCTGTGGATTACTCTCATTATAAATGTAACATTTCATAAAGTCAGTGGTTTCTGTATATATTAAATGAACCGGCATTTACAAAAGAAATTAAAATAGGGATTCAAGTCTGTTAACCTTTGCTGTCGCCATATTTAGCCACAAAATTGAGCAAGCCCCCCCCCCCCCTCCCCAAAACATTCCAGCAATTATATTGTATTAACTGTAAATTGGCATAGGTCATAATCTCAAATAATTGCTTGACACCATCCTATAAAACTACAACTTGCAAGTACTTACGCAGGTTATACAACCTGTTACAAAATGTAAATTTTTATCCCAAGATAATTCATACCTTCTATCTAATGAATCACTAATTAACAAGTTCCCATTAGGCTACCAGAGTTGCCACCCTTATTTGAGGTGACTGTGTGCGGCATTATCTTGGAAGAAACTACCTGCCAATTAAATCAGTACTGAAAATCTACAACAAATCAAAAATGCGATAATATAGATTTGACAGCAAGTTACAGTAAAGGATTAATGGCTGGAAGGCAAATATGCAAGTAGGAAATGAAATTCAGTTGTCAAAGTCATATGAGAAAATCAGGGAGAACAAAATTTGAGACTGCCAATTTTTGACAAACTTGTCTCTTTTAAGAATTTAGAATAATTTTAAAATAATGAAATGGACAATGCTGCCTACAAACTCAGCATCCCATTAAAACAATATTTTAAACATTAACTGCAATCCATGGAAGCCCCATTCCTCCAAAATGCCTCAAAATATTTAATCCGTTAAGGACACATGACGGAAATATTCCATCATGATTCCCTTTTATTCCAGAAGTTGTGTCCTTAAGGGGTTAAAATAAAAACTATCTGAACTAAAACACACTAACAAACAAAAACAAAAACGTAAAGAAAATGCTGACACATGCGTCTTATTTTTCTTAGCTGACTTTATTGAACATTTTAAATCCGAGTCAGTCAACCAAAATGAAACAGCAACCGTATTTGAAACATTCTAACTTTGAGGATCTTATAGAACACAATATATTTATTAAAACAGCTAGTTTTAATTTTCCTTTCAATTAAACACGGTAACTAATAAACAGAAAAAAGAAATTAAAAAAAGGAGTGATCTGTGTTATGTTTAAAAAGATGCTGATAAAAGTATATTAGTGTTCATGGCAGTGCTCGCTTTCACTAGAACCAGTGCTTTCAAGCAGAAATGATCATAAAATGAACAGAGCATCTTACATAAACAGTTTTACATAAAATAAGAGAACCTTGTCAGTACACCCTATATTACATCATTAATTTAAAGAGAGGTACACTACTTTGCTCTGGCATTTTTCACAAATTATTCATGCTGTTTCGACCACCAAATGAGAACATTCCCCTAAAGTGAGCTTCTGAGCATTTCTGAGGCAGAGATCATTCACCACAAGGAGACCACTGGACAACTTCACTAGGCCCAACAATTAGTACATCATAACTGAACAATCCAAGAAACAAGACCCAATCAATTAATAATCTGATCAAAATTGTTTGTAAGAAAGAAATAGGTGAGGACATTTCTTCAAAGGAAAACTACCTTAGTATTCAACTTCACAAAATAAAGCATTCACTGCTGTAAAGCCCCTCAATGTACATGTCATCATAACACAAAGTTAGCATTGTCAAAGTCCAACTTGTATCATTCCAAAACCCATCTAGCCAGTGGTGGCGTACAAGAGTGTCTTCAAAATATTGGGATTATCGATTTAGCCAAATTCAATAGTCTCAGAACTACTGCTCGCTTGTGAGACTGTAATTGTAGCCAGGTATGATGAAAAAGGAATGGCACTGATTCAAACGCTGGGGCTCATCTGCCTCAAAGCCCACCCCAGGAAAACAGTGTCCCTGATTCAATCTGAGAAGTCATACATCCCAGACCTGTGTGGGATAACTCTATAGTCGACCACGGAGATGCCTATATAGGCAGTGACACTTGAATAAACAGTAAAAAAAGCTATCACCCTAAGGGCAATCTCGCTTGGTACAAAGGAAGACCAAACCAGATTAGCCCGGCCTTTACGTGGCTGTGATAATGTGTGCCCATGGTCAGTGCAGTATGATGTGGAACCAGGAAGTATAAGGAGTAATTTCAGTAACCCAAATGCGTATTAAAAAAAAAAAAAAGAATAATAAATAAATAAATAAAATTTACAGAAATAGATGCAAACAGTTCAACAGTTTTAAATATACCCGCAAGGCATCAAGTGCCATCTAACGATAAACATGTGTATCCCGACCCACCACCAACACATCACACAATGGTAAAAGTGAGTATTAATAAGACCGCATTACACCATAGTCAGTATTAAAGTGGCCATACCATACATAATAGCATGGTGATTGATTCCAAAAATTGAAGGTGGTGGAAGCTTAGAGTATATGTAGCACCTGGCGAGTGACCTAGGAGAAGCCCCATGACAATATGCATCAACTCCCCCACCAAACAGAAACACCTGGCAGCAACAGGACGGGAAGAAGCAAAGGCCGTAGCTGGGATGGGGGTAGAGGGAATGATTGTGTCGCTGGGAGCACTGTTTCTGTCTTATTACTGATAGCATAGCACAAGTGTGTCTAATGATGACCAGTTGACCATGCAAAGCACATGGAGACAGTTCCCAGGTGACCACAAAAATGAGACACTAGGGAAAAATCTCAAACCTGGGCTGTCCTACCAAACTTGGGAAATGCATATTTTAGAGCAAAGCATGTGAAAGAGTATCCAACTCCATACTTTACCATCTTAACTATTTTGGCCTAAAATGTGCAACTACTTATCAACTCTCCACAATTCCCAATTTAGTGTATATAACCAATTTCATTATAATACTGCTTCACAGGCTTTGGAACTTTGTTAAGATGACCTCCAGCGGAAAGGTCACAATTTTCTGCTCCAGCTGCAATTACATGATTGTCTTCTATAGAGTACTTTACCCAGCATTTTACATTGCACATAATACTCACTCAATAATATCTTCACACTGAAGTCCTAATATATACTGCCAGGCATTATGATAAAATAGATATATAGTCTGGGCTGGGGAAAACGAGGAGGGCTTGCAAAGGCTGCAGACAAGACATCTGCAGCTTTTGCAAGCTGTTTATATATACCTCAATGAAATAAGCATAATTAAATGCAGGCATAATTTTATTATGGTATGTCTACTAAACAATCATTTTTTTCTTTTTTGTATTTGGGCAGTGAAATGTCCCTTAAAAAAAATAATGTAAAAAAGTAGATAAAAAAAAACTCACGTACATTACCCATGTAATACCTTGACATATGCATTTCTTTTTAAACCTAGTGGAGCTTTATTTGTTTTTGTTTTTTTAGCCTTCTGTTTCTCTATAACTGTTTTGATTATCTTTTTTTTTTGTTTTTTTAGCGAACATTGTCTTTATATTTGTAGTGTTTCAGCTGTTGTACAAACATCTTCAGAGAAATACAGAAATAAACACAAAGCACAGACAAAATACATAATACTTAGACACGTTGCTATGACAATAGATAATACTTTTTTTTTTTTATTCTTTATTTTTGCATAGCTGGTAATAACCCAAAAGCCCCTCTCGCCAGATCCAAAAGGGTAATAACCAGTAACTGGAGGATGCATGCAGTAAGCGTGGTGTACCCAAGCGTGGTGTGTCGGTAAGGTAGATGCTTTCGGCACGTACTCTCTGGGTACAAAGGGATTGATTCCCGTTACTGTCCAAGATGGATGAGCTTCTGTCAGTGCTGCATCTGCTGGCAGGCCTAGGGATTGGAGGAAAACTGGTGCCTCTTAGAGGTGTGATAATAGGTGGGTTTTGCAGGCCTTGTCTGCCATCAATCGGTGACAACTAAAACTAGACTAAAACTAAAATAATTCAGATTACTAAAACTAAAATTCCTATTTAGTCAAAAGACTATAACTAAATTGAAATTTGTCGCCCAAATTAACACTGCTCCACAGCAATAATACTCATTGTAATGTGTCTTTAAACTACAATAAATTTGTTCAAAAATCAGTCTGTGCAAATTATACATTTTGCTCGTGTTCTAAATGACATTTTAGTTGCGTAAATTGTTATTAGTAAGTCTATAGTAATGAGTGGAGCAAAATGAAACACTGCTTAAAAATAGTGGAGAAAGATAATATACAAACTCCTTAAATATTAGGTGGTCCTTCCAGTCAATGATGATAATATGTAAAAAAAAAAAGAATAAAAAATACAATGATAGTGCAGATGGTTAACAATAATATGTAGATCAACTCACATCAGCTGACAAATCTCTTATACATTTCATAATATATGAAAGTGAAATGTCATCGTTACAATAATTAGCTTAAAGAGCCAAATTGTAAAAAAATGACATAGTTTTATTGTCTGCTACATGCAGAATAAAATGGTACATAAATACAAAAAAAAAGTAGTAAAATAAAAGAGTTTAGAGGGTAATTAGCCCCTTACTAGATAAGATGGTGAGTATAACAGGCTTACGCCGTAACTCACTAAGACAGCTTGTAATTGCTTTATGCGCTATTAACCCCTTAAGGACCAAACTTCTGTAATAAAAGGGAGTCATGACATGTCACACGTGTCATGTGTCCTTAAGGGGTTAAAGTGTTTTTGAAAAAGGAACCTAGATGCAACATTTACTTGTGTTTTGGGCAGGACACAAGGAAACTATAATACAAATTTTTGGATATGAGCTTCATTTGAGCACACAGCAGATTTGAAGCAATGGCATGCATCATTTTACATGAGGGCGGGTGCATACTGCAGTGGGAGAGTTTTTTGATAACTTGTCACATTTTCTCCAATGTACGGTATTCAGCCAACAGCTCTTGTGCAGCAGTGAGAAGGATTATCTGAAAACACATGAGGAATTATATAATTCTGTGGTGTCCAGGAAAGCTGATGTATTAATATTCTTACCATTTGTATTTATGTTTATTTTATTGATACACTGGTAAGAGTAATACATAGCATGCCACGTATTAAAATCCATTAGAGGCAAGGTGCAGCAAGGTTTTGCACTAGTTATACAAACAGAGCAATATGTATCAATAGGAGAGCAGTAACTGACCAAAATAATTTACCCACTTACACAGGATGCTACAGAGGCTGCAGAAATCTAGGGATTTCCTGGAAGTGTCTAGTGTCAAATTACCATTAACCTCCATGTAACACAGCTCATCTAACTCTTTCCACTTGCCCCTTGCTTGTAGCATCTGTTTTGATCTTGCCTCCTTCACAGCAGCCTACCTTTCTACCTTCACGCCATCTTGCCCATTTCAACCTTTTTATTACAGCTGTTTCCATTATCTATTTATAACATCTCTCCTGTCTTTATTGCCCTTGATTGGCAGCAATCTCTATGTTATTTATTTAATCTGTCTCTTTTTTTTACCCTATTTATTATAGATGACCCTTCCCCCTATTATTCAGCCCTCCCTCCTTTCCCCGTTCATTCTTTCTTTCTTCTGCTTTTTTTTAAAGTTCCACCCTTTCTGCTTCCCTTTACCGCCATTGCTTACCCTACCTACCTCTATAGAGGTGTTTTCCAAATACCTCCAATACCTCCAGCAGCGTCATGCCAGGAGAAGATCCAATATATAGTGTACCTCTGGCGATGAGAGATTCTTGGGAAGCTGTTTGAAACAAAAAGCAGCATTTTATTTATTTATGTATTTTGTAGCTTGCGTGGTCACCTGTGTCAACTATTTCCTGTGGTCCAACTATTGTTCTCTTTATTGCAGTGAGCCTTAGGCATCCATTTATTGAGTTAGCCAGACTATCTTGGCATTATGTTCCTCATCCATTGCATCAATTTGCTTCTGGGCAGATTCTCATAATAACAAAATAACACTGTCTGCTCTCATGTCAGCTCCTTTTTATGTGTGATGATGCAGAGGTTCCACATTTGTCCATAGTAGACCAAATAAATGGAGGTGATTTATTGTTTGAATACATCATGTTAGCAGAGTCTGATAAAAGCTAAATAAAATAATAGCAAAGAACTGTAAACCAGAAAACCACAATGCCACATTGCAAAGAGCATTATATCTCCAAGTGTCTTCACATGTTGGAAAATAAAGATAAGTAAACATGTGAAGGAAAGATGGAAGATGATGGTTATAATAATAGATACAGCAACAACCAGTTTGTCCATTTGAACCTTAGAAGGCTACAAGTCATTCAGTGTATTTGTTGACTTTCTAAATGTCAATATTCTGTCTAGAAATAACACAAGATCACCACCAAACCTATTTAGTTTAGAAAAACGTTGCCTGAGAGGGGATATGATAACATTATACAAATATATTCTGGGCCAATGTTACGGTTACCTCCAGGCTAGCTGGAAACTAGACCGCTTGGATGATCTGGATCCCAAAGGCAGAGAAAGAGGAGAGCCACGTTGGTAGTTATTCCATACGAGTCCTGTAAATGTAGAGCAATCCCACTAGCTATCATACAGCTAGGATACCTTTTTCCCCCATAAAACGAGTCGAGGCTGTGATTTGAAGGTCAAGCAAGAACTGGCTTTAATGACACACAAAATACACAGGGGACCGTATTTATGCAAAATCTCAGGTCCAGGGACAGGCCCCTCTGGACCTGATGGGATACAGGGACAATACAAGTGGGGGACCAATAGAAATGCAATGCATCGTTTGAAATCGTCACCGCCCAGCTTAGAGATAATGAATCCAACGGTTATTTCAATACAATTATCTCTAAGCGCCTAAAACCCCACGTGTTTTTGCCACATAGAAAACAGAATAAAAATACATAACTCAAACCGTTTTATACATAATTCGTGTCTTCCACCATTCATTATATAGCCTCGGTTGAGGCGAAACAATTAACCGAAGAGCGCTCAGAACCCACGAATGGTATGAGGTATTTCCTCGAACCAAAGTCTGTTCGTGTCTTTGGGTTCTGAGCGTGTGATGACGGCCATGTTTTAAGGTAGACTAATAGGCCGCGGGACTTCACTCTCAAACTTGTGGAACAGGAACCGGCTAGAAGTCTGTACGAATCCCTGCTCCGTCGCTGGAAGTCTCCGGTGTTTGAGAGGCGAATGAAGACTGCCGGGAGGGGGTACTTAACCTGCGGTTAACCGCAGAAACCAACATTCTAATTGGAGCCACACGCCAGGCTGTAGGTGGCCCTTTGTTCGGTACCCATTCGGTAGTTAGAGTATCGGGTGATGGGGCACGAACGTGGACTTCCTGCTGTCGTCAATTAGGTTGCGGTTAACCGCAGACCGCAACTCTCTGGGCGATTAAGTAGAGACACACTCCGCTCGTAGGGTGGTCGGCCGTTCGGCTGTTCCCGGGGTGACCGGGGTTAAGTGGCGGCACACGCCAAGATCCTGGTGGTCTGCCGTTCGTATCACGAATAGCCCGTAGGCCCGTAGTTCAGGAGTTAGGTATCAAATCCCAATATTGTAGTCAAACTCTGGGTGAAATGTAGCAATGAATAACATTCGCTTCTGAGTTGTAGCGATCCAATGACAGTAACCAATAGTTTGTAACAGCCAATTCAAACCATTGTGGGGAAATCTATTCACAAATCGGACTCTACATAGGACACGAGGTCATGCGTTTAGACTGGAAGAAAGAAGATTTTGTCTAAGGCAAAGGAAAGGTTTTTTTACTGTACGAACAATTAGGATGTGGAATTCTCTGCCTGAAGAAGTGGTTTTATCAGAGTCCATACAGATGTTCAAACAGCTACCAGATGCATACTTGCAAAAACAGAATATTCAAGGATATAATCTTTCAATGTAGGGTTATAACTGCTTGATCCAAGGATACATCTGACTGCCATTCCTCGGGTCAAGAAGGAATTATGTTCCTAGCTTGTTGCAAAATTAGAAGTGCTTCAAACTGTTTTTTTTTTACTTCTTTTGGATCAACAGCAAAAAACAAAGGTGGGGAAGGCTGAACTTGATGGACGCAAGTCTCTTTTGAGCTATGTAACTATGTAACTTGAAATGAGAAAAAGAGAAAAGGTAGATCCACACAGTCACAATAACATGTGAAGTTGTAGAGTCTATCTTATAAGTAGCCTACCTCAGAGCTACAAGGTAGGGGTTAACCCCAAAAATAATAAATAAAACAAAGAGACCCTTGAAACAAGGGGATCCCAAAAGTAGCTCTGAACACACAGAAGAAACATATGTGATTACCAGATAATAGGAGAGAGAAGGGGGGGAGGGGGATCACATGTAAATGGATAAAAGGATGGTAAAGGTGGAAGGGAGTTGACAAAGTAAACCCTATCTTCACCTTTTACCACCCACAGCTTACTATCTATTAAATATCCCCAAAATCCACAACAAAAAATGACACAATGTATGGTGAGAGATAAAAAAGGGGTCCAACCACTCCTCCCAATATGAATGGTAAGGCCTCCTAGATCTCAGGATACACAGGCTGAGTGGACTGATAAGAACTAGTAACCCCCCAAAAATATGTAGTGCCCCCACTAACGTTAGGCAGACAAATGGAATCCTGTAAACTAAATGGGGTAGACAGACCAAGTGTAGACAAACCCCGTGCCAAGTCCAGAGAATCCCCACAGGACTAAAGCTGCCTGCCTAAAAATCTTATACAAGCTGGTAAACTAACTGACTTAACCCAACATTCTGACTACCTAAGTGCTACCTAGTGTAAAATAAAAATAATAAAGAAAGAAAGCGCTCGATGCACGTTTCAGCGTGAATACATGCCGTCGTCAGGAGCTATTACATGTGCATGTCCCACTGAGCCGGTTAAGTACCTGCTTAATCAGGGAGAAATCCTTCCAGCTGATCCGACGTGCTAAGCGGGGTGGGCGAGTGACGTAAAGTCAACACTCCCCCTTGCCGCGTCATATCTTATGGTGTGTGACCATTGGAGTATAACAAAGTCAATCACTGCAGGGGGAGGGTGCATCGTCGGACACACCTCCCCTTGGCATCGTGGCTGGCATGAAGATGATTGACAGGTTACGAAATTAATTGTCACGCCTGCTGCCAGTGTTTAAAGGACCACTATAGTGCCAGGAAAACATACTCGTTTTCCTGGCACTATAGTGCCCTGAGGGTGCCCCCACCCTCAGGGACCCCCTCCCGCCCGGCTCTGGAAGGGGAAAGGGGTAAAAACTTACCTTTTTCCAGCGCTGGGCGGAGAGCTCTCCTCCTTCCTCTCCGTTCGCCTCGCCGGGCTGAATGCGCACGCTACGCGAGCTGCGCACAAGATTCAGCCGTTTATAGGAAAGCATTTACAATGCTTTTTATGACGCTGGCGTTCTCACTGTGATTTTCACAGTGAGAAGCACGCAAGCGCCTCTAGTGGCTGTCAATGAGACAGCCACTAGAGGATTAGGGGGAAGGCTTAACCCATTCATAATTATAGCAGTTTCTCTGAAACTGCTATAATTATGAAAAAATGGGTTAACCCTAGAAGGACCTGGCACCCAGACCACTTCATTAAGCTGAAGTGGTCTGGGTGCCTAGAGTGGTCCTTTAAAACATAGGCTGAATGTCCCTAAGGTGATAGAAAAGTTAAGGGGTATAACTTAACCCCATCATATCACATATCCTCTATATATAGTGGTGCTAATAGCAATAGGAATACCCCCTGCTGTTTAAAACACTATAATTACTATTCCCTGGACATTTAAACTTAGGATGGTGAGAAGCCTAGCGATCTAAGGCTTCCTCCATCAGTCCATTAGTATAAAAGTCACACTATGTGGATGCTCACATAACAATATAGAGGAGGGCAGAGGCTGCTCTCTAATTAGGAGATTTAGGCGGCCGCATAAGGCCTCGCGCTTGCTGGGGCCTCGCGGCCGCCTAAATCACCTTAGGGCAGACTGAACTGTCGGGTCCTCCGTTAATGCCCGAGGACCCGACTGTGAGAGGGGGTCCGGTGGCTTGCCCAGTATGCCGCCGGGTGGCCCCTCCACATGGTCTGCCCACAGGGAGAGCCAGCCTCTGATCTGCAGCTCCACCGAGTGCAGAGCTGCAGATCACATAATGTGGTTCTCGCGAGCACATAGAGCGTTGCCGCGGGTTACCACAGCAACCCTCTGACAGGCGCTCGCGAGAACAAGGTCTGCAGCTCTCGCGGAGCTGCAGACGGAACAGTTATCCCACCGGACCACCAGGGACTGCTGTCACTGGACCACCAAGGACTTCAACCACCAGGGAATTATATTACAAAACAAGGTATTTTAGTGTGTGGAGGCTTGTCACAGCCTCCACACACACTGTCCCCAACACTGCCCACCCACCCTCACTGCCCCAACACTGCCCACCCACCTGCCCTCCCACCCTCACTGCCCCAACACTGCCCACCCACCCTCACTGCCCTGCCCACCCTCACTGCCCCTCCCACCCTCACTGTCCACCCACCCTCACTGTCCACTGCCCACCCTCACTGCCCCCACCCTCACTCTCCTGCCCCACCACTGCCCACCCACCCTCACTGTCTCCCACCCTCACTGCCCCAACACTGCCCACCCAATTCCTCACTGCCTCAACACTGCCCTCCTCACTGCCCCGACACTGCCCTCCCACCCTCCCTGCCCACCCACCCTCAGTCTCCAACACCTGCCCTCCTCCCACCCTTACTGCCCTCCCCACCACTGCCCACTCCACCCTCACTGTCCCCACATACACTGCCCCATCATTGCCCTCCCACCCACTGTCCCAACACTGCTCCTCACCCTCACTGTCCACCTACATACACTGCCCTCCCACCCTCACTGCCCACCTACATACACTGCCCCCAAATTGCCCTCCCATCCTCACTGCCCCCCACCCATACTGCCCCCACACTACCTCACACCCCCACTGACCACCCACATACACTGCCCTCCCACCCACACTGCCCTGCTCCCCACATACCCTGCCACACACATACCCTGCCCCAACATACACTGCCCCGCCACCCACATACCCTGCCCCCACACTGCCCTGCCAGTCACATACCCTGCCCCACACGCTGCCCTGCCCACCACATACACTGCACCCACATTGCCCTGCTACCCATATACCCTGCCCACCACATATTCTGTCCCCACACTGATGACCATCACATACACTGCCCCCCACACTGATGACCACACTGCCCCCCACACTGACCACCACATACACTGCCCCTATATACCCTGCCCACCACATATTCTGTCCCCACACTGATGATATGCATACACCTTTACACTGATGACCACACTGCCCCCCACACAGATACTGTCCCCCACACTGACCACCACATACACTGCCCCCCACTAACCATCACACTGACCACCATAGACACTGTCCCCCACATTGACCACCACATACACTGCCCCCACACTAACCATCAGACTGACCACCATAGACACTGTCCCGCACAATGACCACCACATACCCTGACCCCACATAACCTACCCCCCACATTGACCACCACATAACATGCCCCCACACACCCTGCCCCCCACACTCTCTCCCACACACTCTGCCCCCACACAGTTTCTCACACGAAATGTCCCCCACTGTCACACACCCTGCCCCCCACACTGTCACCATCCTCCACACTGCTACCCCACACTGTCATCTTCCTCCTCACTGTCACCCACTGACACTCTGCCCCCAAAACTGTCACATTCCTCCACACTGCTCTCTCACCCTGTTACCCTTTCACACACTTGCACCCCATATTGTCAGCCCCCAACACTATGTCACCAATACATACAGTCACCCCTCCCACACACTGCCCGTGCACACACTGTCACCCTTTCCAACACTGCCTCCCACACTCTCACCTACCCACCATCATAATTCCACACACATACAGCCACCCCCCACACTGTCACCCTGTCAGGATACTGACAGGGATCCAATACGCAGAGTGCGGACAGAAGGAGGTACGTATACCGGACCTTAGAATGGCCGGACTAACGTAGGGACAAAGCAGAATAGTCAAAAGGTAAGCCGAGGTCGAGGGAGCCGGAGGACAGGTAAGCGAGATACAAGCCGAGTCAAAGGAGAGGAGAGGACAACAGGACAAAAGACAAGCAAGGGTCAAAACCTGAAACACAAGATAAAGAACGCGCTGAGTGACTAGCAAGCTAGAACCACGACAGGGCAATGAGCAGTAGTAAAGGTTTCCTTTAAATACCCTGTACCTAAATAGAGACCACGCCCCCAAAAGGTCCGGAATAGCGGTTCTCGGCACTTTATGCAAATGCCGACGTCATGACGTCGACGCTAGCCGTCGCGTCATAAAAGGGGGAGGAGCTAGCGCGGCCGGCGCGAAAACGGCCGGAATATGCCGAAATGCTAGGGGCAGGGAGCCCCTAAACAGAGAGGATGTCTTCCCTGGATTCAGCACCAACAGGTACCCTGACAGTACCCCCCCTTCTAGAAACGCCCACCGGGCGGATGGGACCGGGCTTAGAAGGAAAATGAACGTGGAATGCCCGAAGAAGACGAGGGGCATGCACGTCTATACCAGGAACCCAAGACCTCTCTTCTGGACCATAACCTTTCCAGTCTATGAGGTATTGCAGCTTCCCCCTAGAAATACGAGAATCAAGGATGGACTTGATGATATATTCCTCCTGACCATCCACACGGACCGAGGATGGAGGAGCAGAGCGGGAGGAAAATCTGTTACAAACAAGAGGTTTCAATAACGACACATGAAAAGAGTTAGGGATGTGTAGAGTAGGAGGTAGATCCAGCAAATAAGAAACCGGGTTGATCCTCCTCAGCACCCTGTAAGGACCAATGTAACGAGGAGCAAACTTCAAGGAAGGGACTTTCAGGCGAATGTGTCTGGTACACAACCAGACCCTATCACCCGGAGAAAAAATAGGAGCAGGCCGCCTACGCCTATCAGCATGTGACTTAAACACCGCGGAACTACGTTCAAGAATTTGTCGAGTCTGATCCCACAACTTTCTCAGGTTGGCTATATGAATATCAACCGACGGTATACCCTGGGAAGGAGACACCGACGGAAGAACAGTAGGGTTAAAGCCATAGTTCAAGAAAAAGGGGCTGTTACGAGTGGAACCACAAACAAGGTTGTTGTGAGCAAACTCCGCCCAAGGAATCAGACCGACCCAGTCATCCTGGTGTTCAGAAACAAAACAACGTAGATATTGCTCAATTTTTTGGTTAGTGCGTTCGGCTGCTCCGTTAGATTGAGGATGATAGGCCGAAGAAAAATTCAGTTTGATGCCCAACTGGGAACAGAAGGATCTCCAAAAACGGGAAATAAATTGGGAACCCCTGTCTGACACAATCTCATTGGGAATACCATGTAAACGGAAAATTTCTCTAGCAAATATCACGGCCAGTTCAGGAGAGGACGGAAGTTTAGGCAAGGGAATGAAATGAGCCATTTTAGTAAACCTGTCAAGGACCGTGAGGATAACCGTATGCCTACTGGAAGCTGGTAGATCAACAATAAAATCCATAGCCAAACAAGCCCAAGGTTTGTTGGGAACGACTAAGGGCTGCAATAAACCACAAGGGAGATCCCGCGGAAGTTTATTCCTGACACAAACATTGCAAGCCTTGACAAAGTCTTCCACATCCCTACGTAAACCGGGCCACCAGAAGTCTTTGGAGATCAGGCAGTAAGTTTTGTGGATGCCGGGGTGACCAGCGAACTTGCTATCGTGAAAACAGCGAATAATGTCCACTTGGAATTTGGGAGACACGAACAAGCGGCCCACAGGAGTACGTTCGGGAGCAAGAGATTGTTCGTTCATAATATCAGCGAGCAATGGAGAGTGTATTTTGACATTGGTGTTGGCGATAATATTGACTTCAGGAATAATAGGGAACAAAGTGTCCTCTGTAGAGGTGATAGGTTCGTGCTGACGTGACAAAGCGTCTGCCTTAGTGTTCTTAGAACCAGGCCTGTAAGTAAGCATATAATTAAAGTGTGTAAGGAACATAGACCAACGTGCCTGCCTGGCAGATAATCTTTTGGCCTCCCCCATATACGATAAATTTTTGTGGTCAGTCAAGATGGTAACTGGGAGGACAGTGCCCTCTAACAAATGTCTCCATTCCTTTAATGCCATAATGATAGCTAAAAGTTCTCTATCACCAATGTCATATCTCCTTTCAGTGTGTGATAGTTTCTTGGAAAAAAAACCGCAAGGGTGCAGCGGCTTATCTAAACTTTGTCTTTGGGACAACACTGCGCCTATCCCTGTTTCAGACGCATCAACTTCAAGTAAAAAGGGTAGAGAGGTATCAGGATGAACTAATACAGGTGCTGAGGCAAAAGACTGTTTGAGCGTTTCGAAAGCAGATAAAGCCTCAGTAGACCAGGTTTTGGTATCGGCTCCTTGTTTGGTCATATTAGTGATAGGAGCGATAACAGAGGAGTACCCTTTAATAAAACGTCTGTAATAATTAGAAAATCCAAGAAATCTTTGTATGGCTTTGAGTCCCTTAGGTAAAGGCCAATCTAAAATCGATTTTAGTTTGGTCGGGTCCATCATAAACCCGTCTTTGGAAATTACGTAACCTAAGAAAGTTACCTGAGACTGGTCAAAGCTACATTTTTCCAATTTACAATACAATCCATGTTGTAAAAGTTTCTGTAATACCTTTCTGACTTGTCTATGATGTGAATTAATGTCTCTAGAATGGATTAGTATATCATCCAAATATACAATTACACATTCATGTTGGAATTCTCTAAGAACTTCATTGATTAAGTCTTGGAAGACGGCCGGGGCGTTACAAAGCCCAAACGGCATTACGGTATACTCATAATGCCCGTAACGGGTATTAAATGCTGTCATCCATTCATCTCCTTGTTTAATTCGCACTAAGTTATATGCTCCTCTCAAGTCAAGTTTGGTAAAAATACTTGAGCCCTTTAGTCTGTCAAAGAGTTCAGTAATCAAAGGAATAGGGTAAGCATTCCTGATAGTAATTTTGTTCAATCCCCGATAGTCTATACAAGGACGTAAGGTACCGTCTTTCTTTTCTACAAAAAAGAAACCCGCCCCCGCCGGAGAAGAAGACTTTCTAATAAATCCTTTGTCTAAATTCTCCTTGATGTATTCCTCTAAAACTAAGTTTTCCTTGGTGGATAGAGGGTATACCGTACCCCTGGGAGGCATAGTACCAGGGAAAAGTTTAATAGAACAGTCATAAGACCGGTGGGGAGGTAAAGTATCCGCCTTACCCTTGTCAAATACAGATTTGAGGTCTAGATATTGTAGTGGTATCTGAACGTCAGTGGATTGAGAAGTGTTAGCATAAGAGTTTACGGGGCAAACAGAAGTAACTCTCTGCAGACATGCTTTCCTACAACCCATACCCCAAGAAACGATTTCTCCACCCTCCCAGTCAATCTGAGGGTTGTGTCTCTTGAGCCAAGAATATCCTAGTACTACTGGGACTGCCGGGGAGGAAATTAACAGAAGGGAAATCAACTCCTCGTGGAAAATACCAACAGTAAGCTTAACGGGTTCGGTCTCATGGAATATTACTGGTTCAGATAAAGGTCTACCATCTATGGCCTCAACGGCCAAGGGTGTATCTCTCAATTGGAATGGGATACAATGCTTATTAGCGAAAGTTTGGTCTATAAAGCTTTCTGCTGCTCCAGAATCTAATAATGCCATCGTAGCAATAAACCCCTTTTCCCAAGCTAGAGAGACAGGAATCAGAAGCCTATGGTCTTTTTTATTATGCATAGAGGACAGTAATGAAACACCCAAGGCCCGTCCTCTAAGGGAACTTAGGTGCGAGCGTTTCCCGGACGATTAGGGCAACTAAGACGTAGGTGACCTCTCCGCCCGCAGTATAAACAGAGACCCTCCCTTCTTCTGTACTGTCTCTCAGCCTCAGATAAGCGAGTATTACCTATTTGCATAGGTTCTGGTGGAGTAGGATTATAGGAGTCAGGGTTCTGAAATGAGGGAGCGAGTCTTACAGGAAGTCTAGTAACTCTTTCCCGAGTGTTCTGCCTCTGTCTCATGCGTTCATCTATTCTGGAAATGAAGGATACTAAATCCTCTAAATTTTCCGGAAGTTCTCTTGTGGCAATTTCATCTAGAATTTCATCAGACAACCCATTCAAGAATACATCCATAAAAGCTTGTTCGTTCCATTTCACTTCTGCTGCCAATGATCTAAACTCTAGAGCATATTCTACAAGGGTCCTATTCTGTTGTTTAAGGCGTAACAGGGATCTGGCCGCATTAATCTTCCTTCCTGGGGGGTCAAAGGTTCTTCTAAAAGCCGTGACAAAAGCAGTGTAGTTGTAGACTAAAGGATTGTCATTCTCCCAAAGGGGATTGGCCCATCTAAGTGCTTTATCTATTAGCAGGGTTATAATAAAGCCTACCTTAGCCCTGTCAGTGGGGTAAGCCCGGGGTTGAAGTTCGAAATGTATGCTTATCTGGTTTAAAAAACCACGACAAGCATCAGGCGAACCCCCATATCGTAATGGTGAAGTGACATGGGAAGATGCGCCTACAGTGGCTACTTCCAAACCAGTACTTAGCGAGTGGCTGGCAGTGGAACGTATTTCTTCAGACTGGGTACTGGAGCGTGTTAACAAAGTTTGTAATGCTAAAGCCATTTGGTCCATTCTATGGTCCATGGCCTCAAATCTGGGGTCAGGAGGACTAGCACCTGCAGGATCCATCATGGCCCTGTCGTAATGTCAGGATACTGACAGGGATCCAATACGCAGAGTGCGGACAGAAGGAGGTACGTATACCGGACCTTAGAATGGCCGGACTAACGTAGGGACAAAGCAGAATAGTCAAAAGGTAAGCCGAGGTCGAGGGAGCCGGAGGACAGGTAAGCGAGATACAAGCCGAGTCAAAGGAGAGGAGAGGACAACAGGACAAAAGACAAGCAAGGGTCAAAACCGGAAACACAAGATAAAGAACGCGCTGAGTGACTAGCAAGCTAGAACCACGACAGGGCAATGAGCAGTAGTAAAGGTTTCCTTTAAATACCCTGTACCTAAATAGAGACCACGCCCCCAAAAGGTCCGGAATAGCGGTTCCCGGCACTTTATGCAAATGCCGACGTCATGACGTCGACGCTAGCCGTCGCGTCATAAAAGGGGGAGGAGCTAGCGCGGCCGGCGCGAAAACGGCCGGAATATGCCGAAAATGCTAGGGGCAGGGAGCCCCTAAACAGAGAGGATGTCTTCCCTGGATTCAGCACCAACAGGTACCCTGACACACCCCCCACGTGCTGTCATGCTCCCTTCACCCAGCCTTGCTCACATTAACATCTCCTAATCTTGTCGCTCTCACCCCGTCCATCCATACCACAATTACCGGGCCCTCGCTCTTCTACACTCACCCTATCACATTAATCCCCCTAATCCTATCACACTCATCTTCTCTCATTATGTCACACTCACCCCCAACCCTGTCACACTCATCCTTTTTCACATTAACCCTTTCACTTGGGCCCAGCCATGCCACACTCATCCTGTTACATAATCCTGTCCGACTCACTTTCCCTCGCCTTGTCACACTCCCTCCTCCAGCCGTGCAACACATAACCCATAACCCTGTCAAACTCATCCCCCTTCACCCTATCACATTAACTTCTGTCCTGTCACTCATCCTGCCAAGCCACGCCACACTCACCCTGTCACATAACCCTCCCTCACCTCCCCTTCGCCCTGTCACACTTTCTCCTTCAACTGTGCCACACTCACCCCAACAGTGAATACAGAGACTAGCTCTCTGTATCCAGCGCTGCAAGCCTGTCATACATTATAACAGCTCATTATACACACGACCCCTATATGTTTTTTTACTATGAGTGTTAGTGGGGGGCCTCTTGTTTGAGTTTCGCCTAAGGCCTCATAAAGTCTAGAGCCGCCACTGGAGTAGGGATTATACATAATTGACCCTCTATAGTATTAATAGAGTGTATACTGAAGCTAGTTGGTTGCTAAATTCTAAACTCAATGTGACTCACACTATGAAAAGTGAGACAGAAAAAGTTCCAGTATAACAATGTTCTTATGCTGAGTATAATAGAGTATAGAAAAAAAATCACCATTTAGGGTTTAGGTTTAACTATTAATACTGAGTGGTCTTAAGTAATGACAACCATTTAGATCAGCCATATAATATAATCAGGTCAAAACCGGTTGGGATCTATGCAACTAATTAATGAAAAATAAAATAAACTTTATTTACATATAAACATATTTACAGACAGCGATTAAAATAAGGTAGAACAGGTGGGTATATATATTCTGTTGATGGAAATACCTACAAGTCTACAGAAATGATGAAAATGAAAAACCTTCGTTTAGTCCCTGTGGTGAAAGTGTTTTCAGTTTATATATCCAGTAAGATTCTCTTTGCTTTAGCTTACGATCCCAATCCCCTTTGCGTTGGGTTTGGGTTATGAGTTCTATGCCCATAAAGCGTATCTTACTGGATGAGTTGGCATGATGTGCCTTGAGATGCCTTGAGATGGGAGTTTCCAATTTCCTTCTAACTGAATTGACATGTTCTCTAATACGGAACTTAAAAGGACGGAAGGTCTTTCCGACATAATTCCGCAGGAACGTGTCAAAAGATAAATCACTCCGACACTTGAAGAAGGTCTGTACAGAATGAAGGTCCTGGTTCAAACTGTCAGAAAAAACCCTGGTTTCCTTGGCTATATATTGGCAGGCACTACAATGGCCACACCTGTACGTGCCTTTAGGTAGATATAGTTTAGGAGAACTACTGGGGGGGCCAAAATGACTAGGTACCAGTAGGTCTTTAAAGTTCTTCCCTCTTCATGCCGTAACAGAAGGGAATGGTGAGATAACTGACTTAATATGAACATCTGATGTCAGAATTGGCCAGTATCTACCAAGGATTAACAACATTGTATGCCAACCTGCATCATACGTCCCAATACATCAAATCTGATGGCTTGGGAGTGAAGTTCAATCCTGAAGAAGGTTCACTCTATCCGAGTTCAGTGCCCTAGAGTATGCCCTTTTAAGGACTCTATTGGGGTACCCTTTATCTTTGAAGGATTTTTGTTGGCTGCCAGCCTTTATTTTGAAATCTTTAAGGGTTGAACAATTTCTGTGCAACCGCAGGTACTGCCCAATCGGGATATCTGCGTTAGAGGGGTAAGGGTGGTAACTATCCCAATTAAGAAAGCTATTTGTAGCTGTTTTTTTACTGTACAATGTTGTAGAGATTCGACCATCCTCTTGTAGTGACAGGGTAATATCTAAGAAGTTTAGATGTTTACCCCCAACCTCGCTGGTAAAATGTAGATTCAGTTCGTTCACATTCCACAGCCGTACAAACTCGTTAAAGTCATCTACTGAACCCAGCCACACTATGAGCACATCGTCGATGTAACGTTTCCAACAATGTATTTGTGTCAGATATTGGGTCAGACGCTCATCAATTTGGAGATTGTTTTCCCATGTGCCCAAGTACAGGTTCGCGTATGAAGGGGCGCATGAGGTGCCCATTGTCGTGCCCATAATCTGATGGTAAATCACACCATTAAAGAGGAAGACATTTTTGGTAAGCACAAAGCTAAGAATTTTGCAGGCGAAGTCTATGTACTCTGGAGAGAATTTAGACTATAGCTGTAAAGTGAGTCTAAGGTTCTAAATCCCTAAGGTGTGTGTGGGATGGAACTGTAGAGAGATTCTACATCACAACTATACAATAGTGCCTCCTTGGGTGCAGTAGTGCTCTCTATAAGTTGTAGCATTTGTTTTGTATCCCTCACAAAGGAGGGAAGTGTTGATACAAGTGGGGCCCATTATCTTGTCAAGGTATATGCTCATATTTTGAGTCAAATTACCTATGCCAGAGACTATCGGTCGCCCAGCAGGGTTAGTCATAGACTTATGAATTTTCGGGAGACTGTAAAACATGGATGTCATGGGATATCTTGTGAACATAAATTCAAACTCATCTTTTGTAGTGAGTTTATTATCAAGTGCTTGAGATAATAAGCTTTTCACTTCAATAATATATTCACTAGTGGGATCATTTTGTAAAGTTTGGTATGTCTTGGTGTCACTCAAGAGACGGTTAACCATGGATATGTATTGAGGGCGATCCATTACAACTATGTTTCTTCCCTTGTCGGAGGGTTTGATAATTATATTCATATTGGTGCGTAGGGATTTTAGATTTCCGCTAGACTTAAAATCCAGATCATTAGAGTTTATTTGTTCAATATCCCTACATACCATTTCCAAGAATACTTCCACACTTTTGTAATCCTTAAAATGAGGTGTAAATGTGCTCTTAGGTTTTAAATCTGTTAAGGGTACATTAGCTGGTCTCGCATCCTCATTACATTGTAATAACTCAATCAACGTAACTAAGTCTTGTGCTTTCTGTTCTTTCCTAATAGTGTAGTATTTGAATAGGGCCAATTTGCGGGCAAAAAGATGTAGATCCTTGGTCCAAATAAATTTATTAAATGGAGGAATAGGCACAAAAGTAAGGCCTTTCTACAGGACTGAAATTTCTGTCTCTGATAGAGTGAAAGAGGAAATATCTACAATTTTCAAATCATCAGGACCTAATTTCGGTACCTCCATTGGCCCCTGCTCCTTTGAGACTGCCTGGTACTTGGGCCTTTGAGTTCCTTGGCCTGTCTAAAAAATCCACCCCTTAGCGTACTATGCTTTTAGGGGCTGGAGGTTGGGAGATTTGGATGGAAGAGGTGGCCAGGTCATGCTCCTCATTGTCAGTTGACTCATACTCTGAAGTGCTGAACCGGTCAGAGTCCGTCCTTACTCTTTTTTTAAAATGACGGTATACCCTGCCAGTCTCAAAGTCAGTAGAATCTCTTAAAATGTTCTGATGTTTTTTGGTCTTAATTTGGTATGAGAACTTGTCTAGATTGTTTTTAAGCTTAACTTCAAGACTCAGAGGGTCTGTATTATATTTTTGGACCGCTTCTATCTCAGTGTCTAGTTCCTGCTGTATCTTAGTAAGTTGTAAGTTCTCATACTTACAAATAATGGACATTAATGTTGTGAATCATTTAGACGCTGCCTCCTACCATTCCTTATTAAAGCCTTGAATTTCTATATTCCTAAAAGGGGGTACGAAAACTCTTAGCCCTCTCGGGATGATTTGTTTAGCAATATACGTGTTTAGGGTAGAAATTTCCCAACTAGTCTTAATTTGTTTTTTGAAAGTCCTGGTTAGCTTATTAAAACTTGTATGTATATTGAGGGAAAAAGAGGATGGGAGGGAGGTACTATTCGAAAACACAACATCAGCATCTATACACCACTGTTGAGCATCCATTTTATTGGACAGAAAACCTGCCATTTTGGATATGTTAATAAACAGGGGACAAATAATACAAAGTAGACTAGGTACAGTGATGGTAGGCTAAATGGTGCAATAACACGTTAGGCAGACAAATGGAATCCTGTAAACTAAATGGGGTGTATTCATGCTGAAACGCGCGTCGAGCGTTTTCTTTCTTTATTATTTTTATTTTACACTAGGTAGCACTTAGGTAGTCAGTATGTTGGGTTAAGTCAGTTAGTTTACCAGCTTGTATAGGATTTTTAGGCAGGCAGCTTTGTCTACACTGGGTCTGTCTACCCCATTTAGTTTACAGGATTCCATTTGTCTGCCACTACATTTTTTTTTTTTTGTTACTAGCTCTTATCAGTCCACTCAGCCTGTGTATCCTGAGATCTAGGAGGCCTTACCATTTATATTGTGAGGAATGGTTGGACCCATTTTTAATCTCTCACCATACATTGTGTCATTTTTTGTTGTGGATTTTGGGGATATTTAATCCCTCTCCAATAGATAGTAAGCTGTGGGTGGTATAAGGTGAAGATAGGGTTTACTTTGTCTACTCACTTCCACCTTTACCATCCTTTTACCCATTTACATGTGACCCCCCCTTCTCTCTCCTATTATCTGGTAATCACATATTTTTCTGCTGTGTGTTCAGAGCTACTTTTGTGATCCCCTTGTTTCAAGGGTCTCTTCATTTTATTAACTATGTAACTTGTTTTTGTTGACCAACAGTTACATTGGACGGGTTGGCTGAAGCTAAATTGTAAACAAAACTGAAATTCTATAAATGAAACAAAAGTAATAAATATATAAAACAACTAAGATTTCGACTATGTTAACTCACTTTGGAGGTGGCTCTGCAACACCTGTTACTAAGTTCATCTCCCCTAAATATGTTGATTGGACCCCTAATGTGTCTATGGGCACATTAAAGGGACATTATAGTCACCAGAACCACTAAGGTTTAAGGTAGTGGTGACTGTAGTATGTCCATGCAGGCTCGGCAATATAAACACTTTTATAGAGAAAAAGCAGTGTTTGCATTGCTTCCTAGGGTCTGAATGACTGCCACTAGATGTGCTTGTTAGTTCAGTGCTGAACTGTGTGCAGCACATACAGTCAGCATCTCCACGCTATGCACAGAGATACTGAACGCTTCCCATAGAGATGCATTGATTCAAATTGGAGAATAAAACAACCTTTTTACTCCACAGAGAGGGGGTCCGGAGATCTAAGCATCTAAGCCAACACTATAGTTTCAGGAATACATTTTTATATTCCTAACACTATATTGCTCCTTTAAGGGTTGTTGTAGCCCTGACTAACAGTTGACTACTCAGGACTGCTGCTTCGCGGTGCTCTCCACACAATGCCACTAGTGCAGCCAAGCACAATACTAGGTACTTGAATAACCAAGAGTATAGACATATTATAGATAAATAACAGACAGTATAGACATATTATGGACATATAACAGACATTATGGACATATTATAGAGTTTAGTTGACCATTGAATTTGCTAAATAAACCTCTATCGCACAGGATGGGTAAGGAGTGAAGTTGGCAAAGAAGCCATGGACCCCTTTTTCTGCTTGATTTATTAGAAAAACTCTCATTGTACCACATATTGCACGCGACACTTGTTGTTAGAGGCGTCTTGAGACCCTCGGACAATTTTGCAAATCTTACTGAGCTTTGGACACTATTTTATCAGGGGTACTTAGCTCCCACTTGGTTAAAAGGATCCAATTAGTATTTCTTCTCAGTTTGTGACAAGCTGGTTACCAATCTGCAATACCCAACTTGTCCAGCAAAATGTGAACAAATAAAATCTGAAAACTTGGGGCAAAAGCAAGTGGCATCAGCTGATAACATATAACTGAGCTCTGCTTTTCATTTCTCATAGGTGGACTTAAAGGGGCAAACTTAGCACCATAACCACTACAGCCTGTTATAGTGATTATGATGCTAAGAAACTACAGGTTCATAATCCCTTGATTCTGGGTCACATTGTATTTTGAGTAGTGATTATGGTGCTTACTTTTACTTTGGAGCAATGGGACAGGTAACTGCTAGTGTGAACTCTGATCTCTGCTCTTCAAAACCACTACATCCACAAAAAAGAGGGCCTTCTCACCACAAATTACATCTGCGCTGCTGTGCTGGAGCCTCATTATTACGAATGTTGTGTGGATATGTCATAAATAAACTTTGCTGGGTGCAGCTGCAACAAAAAAATGTTTATGCCAACTGCATGCTGGCAGGTTTAATCATGAACCCAGATTTTGCCGCAATGGCAGTTCTTCTATTTACTGAAGCAGGGGTAGGCACCCTTCATCACTGCAGATGTTGTGGAATACATCTTCAATAATGCTCTTGTAGCCTTAATGCTGGCAAAGAATACGTTCACAACATCTGGAGTGCTGAAGATTGCCTGTACTTAGGCCAATTAAGCCTGCGCAAATCTGCAGCAATCGATCAGATGCATTCGGTGTGCGGATTAAAATCAGTGCTTTCGCATTCTAAATATTCACAAAGCACCGGTTTTAATTCAATTCGGAACCAAACTTTCTCAAATTGTTGTTTACATGTTTTTTTTGCAAGTGAATGATAATTCTATTTGCCCATCGGCAGCACTAACAGCCTGCAGGCAAATAGTAAAAAAAACTTGTCGGTGTGAGGGTTAATATGTGGCAGCTTGCCAGCACCACATGGCAGATAGAGGCATATCTGCTAAAAATTAGGGTGAGGGTGGTAGGTAGGGTTTTTAATTTTAATGGAATGTGGCTAGCCAACTGGGGGCCCCATATCAGTATTTGGGAGGTGGGGGTAGACATTGACTCTTTGTATAATTAGTTTGTGATTGAAGCATTTCTCATGATGCTCATTTAACCTAAAAGGCTTCCCTGCTTTAGTGTTATACTGGTGGTAGGTATATTTTATTTACCAAATGATGGGTTTGTGCACTCTGTTCTGGCATAACTTGTGGGTACTGTTTCAGTAAATATTAAGCAAATTGCAAGCTATCCAAATGTCCTGGATGTTCCTATATGCTGCTGCTAGACATTAATGATGATTTATGGTCATGGAGCTTTCACTGCTGCAGATGAGTTGCACAATGCTGTCAGACCTAACTAGCTGTTTGCAATGTACCCAGACATGAAGATAGATTGCCAGGTGTACACACCATACCGTTTTCTTATTTACAAAATGTGACATGATAGAGCTGCATTATGAAACATTTTATTATTTTTCCTTGCTTTTACATAATGGTATAAATATTCACGTCACAGAAAATAAAAAAAATAAAAAACAGACACCAGGCTTGATATGGCAGCGTGTTTATTTGTTCTTGCAATGACATCATGAATTGGAATAACCTTACAGGTCTAAAAATGTCCTTCAAGCCTTCAGTAACCACCTGCAGCTTACTCACATTAATAACCAATGGTGCACACAATTCTGATTATTCTTTGAGAATCCTGTCAGTGTTACACTTATTTAGCTACTTGGGTGGTGATTCACCAGTAATGAATATACACACATATATCCAAGAAACCATGAATATATATATATAATTATGTTATTACTTTTTTATGTATATGAAAAATAGGATGAAGCCAAATGATAGTTTTTGATAGTATAGTGCAGGGGTGGCCAAAAGGTAGATCCCCAGATGTTTTAAAACTACAATTTCCATGATACTTTGTCATTCTAAAAACATTCTAAAGGCATACAAAGCATTATGGGAGTTGTAATTCTACAACATATACATTTTGTGCATCCCTGGTATAATGTATGGATAACATAGTATATAGATAATGTGTGCTGCTAAAACCAACATTATGTATGTTTTTTTTAGCCATTCACACCACTTTATTTATTTATCTGCTCTGTTATTCCACATCCCTTCGTGTACACACTATACACTGGTCTCTCTGCAAATGGTAGAATGTGTTGTAGAGCAGTAAAATATGACCAGTCCCAATAATAGTGTTTCTAATCACCCCACTCATTGGGGTTTGGAGGATGTTCTTTTGGGACTAGTGTGCTGTATTCACCATTGTCAGGCCCTGTCTGGTTGTAATAAGCCAGATCCCATTTGCCTTTTTCTGGGATGGAAATCCTCTTAGTTCCATAGGGTCTGTATTAGGCTTAATCTCCTCTTTGAGCTTTAACAGTTGACTAATTGCTAACCCATATCGTTTCCTCACTTTGTTGTCATTAATGCTAATTAATAGGACTCTGGTCTGTATGTCCTTGGTTTGTATTCCCATATCCTTATCTTTCTATGTGTTCCAGTTGCATAATGGGATCAGCTGGACACTGATGGCATTGCACAGACCGTGATACTAGCATGGGCATGTAACTGACACTGTCAGGTGTAGGTGGCTGTAGCTGGCACATCAAGTCGCCAACATCTGTAGCACCTTATATGGTACCTGCAGTAGCAGCATGCAAATGTCACGGGTCTCAGCCACATGTTTTCTCTAATTGTTAAAGATTTCCAATATATGGTTGTTGTCATGTCCCTGACAGATTTGTTTAAGTGTGTTGTGTATGTGTGGAGATCACTGTGGCAGTATAGATACATTTTTAGTGTGGTCCCTTCTTGTACCAGGAGCGTAGCTTTGTTATAATGTGTAGAGTCTCTGGGCACTGTTTTTTTTTTTTTTCTTGAAGCACACTCCAGTGTGAATCACCTTGCACACAGGATATGGGAGTACAGAACATTTTCATGTATTATGTTAGAGCACTATGTCCTTTAATATACAAATATATATTATTATTATTATTATTATTATTATTATTATTGCCATTTATATAGCGCCAACAGATTCCTTAGCACTTTACAGTATTATGAGAGGGGGGATTTAACTATAAATAAGACAATTACAAGAAAACTTACAGGAACGATAGGTTGAAGAGAGCCCTGCGTAAACAAGCTTACAATCTATAGCATATATACACACAGCTGACGTCAACTAAAATAATATTTGTTTTAAAGCTGAAAACTTGTTTTTGATAAGGTTACATTTTACCTAGATTACTAAGCATCATTGAATTGTTTTAATTTAATACATTGCTCCAAAGCTTCTGTGAAAAGTAGTTGTAAAACTGTGGCGAAAAATTGCTAAACCTCCCCCATAATGTTTTATTACGGATGTGATCACTGTATTGTACTATTTTCAGGTTTCTTACGTTCTGTTTTATGGGCATTGACACTTGATTACATGTTGGGAGACAGCAGTAACAACTTCCAAATGTTTAAATTCCACATTTAGGATCACATCTAGACTTGTTATTACTGAACTAATGGTGCGACAACACACTCCTGACCATACTATTGGCAAATTATTTATTTCTCACTAAAATGGAGGCTCTTTGTCTAAAAGAATGCTTAGCTCAGTGTTTATGGATGTAAATATCCTCAAACTAAAGGAACACTATAATGTCAGGAATACAAAAATTTATTGTGTTTAACTATTTAGGGAACCGTCCCCTCTTCGATCACAATAACAAGGTAATTTTACTCACATTTTCTCCCACTCCAGGCAAGTCTCCCCGCGCCTGGCCCCGTCTTGCTCTGCCTTCATGGCTGGGATCATCAGTCTTGGTGATATCAGCCAATCCAATGCACTGGGAGGCAATTGCGCATGCGCAGTAAAATTCTATGCTGCACCAGTCAGCATCTCCTCATTGAGATGGATTGAATCAATGCATCTCTATGGAGTTCATCATCTTCATGTTGAGTGTCGAGAAGCTGAACGCCAGTGCTGCACACTGCGCAGCACTGAGACAGGAAGCACATCTAGTGGCCGTCTGATGGCTGTACAATACAGTGATCACATACGCAATAAAACATTATGGAGGTGGTTTATCATTTTTTCGCCGCAGTTTTACATCTAATTTTCACAGAAGCTTTGGAGCAATGTATTAAATCTGTCAAATGTTTTCATCTATTACTTCTTTTTCTCTCTAACCGTCATCTCTGAATATACAGGGCCTTGCAAAAGTATTCACCCCCCTTTGCATTTGTCGTGTTTTGTTGCCTCACAGCCTGGAATTAACATGGATTATTTGAGGATTTGCATCATTTAATTTACAGAACATGCCTACAACTTTGAAGATGTTATTTTTATTTTTTATTTTTTTATTGTGAAGCAAACAACAAATGGGACAAAATAACAGAAAAAGTCAATGTGCATAACTATTCATGCCCCTAAAGTCAATACTTTGTAGAGCCTCCTTTTGCGGCAATCACAGCTCCAAGTCGCTTTGGATAAATCTCTATGAGCTTGCCACATCTTACCACTGGGATTTTTGCCCATTCCTCCTTGCAAAACTGCTCCAGCTCCTTCAAGTTGGATGGTTTGCGCTTGTGAATCTTTAAGTCTGACCAGAGATTTTCTATTGGATTGAGGTCTGGGCTTCGACTAGGCCATTCCAACACATTTACATGTTTCCCCTTAAACCACTCAAGTGTTGTTTTAGCAGTGTGTTTGGGGTCATTGTCCTGCTGGAAGGTGAACCTCCGTCCTAGCCTCAAATCACGCACAGAGTGGTACAGGTTTTGCTCAAGAATATCCCTGTATCTAGCACCATCCATCTTTCCCTCAACTCTGACCAGTTTCCCAGTCCCGGCTGCTGAAAAACATCCCCACAGCATGATGCTGCCACCATCATGTTTCACTGTGGGGATGGTGTTCTTTGGGTGATGTGATGTGTTGGGTTTGCGCCAGACATAGCATTTTCTTTGATGGCCGAAAAGTTCAATTTGAGTCTCATCAGACCAGAGCACCTTCCTCCATACATTTTGGGAGTCTCCCACATGCCTTTTCGCAAACTCAAAACGTGCCATTTTGTTTTTTGCTGAAAGTAATGGCTTTCTTCTGGCCACTCTGCCATAAAGCCCAACTCTATGGAGCATATGGCTTATTGTAGTCCTATGTACAGATACTCCAGTCTCTGCTGTGGAACTCTGCTGCTCCTCCAGGGTTACATTAGGTCTCTGTGTTGCCTCTCTGATTAATGCCCTCCTTGCTCAGTCCGTGAGTTTTGGTGGGCGGCCGTCTCTTGGCAGGTTTGCTGTTGTGCCATGTTCTTTCCATTTGGTTATGATAGATTTGATGGTACTCCTGGGGAAGCATCAAAGATTTGGATATTTTTTTATAACCTAACCCTGACTTGTACTTCTCAACAACATTGTCCCTTACTTGTTTGGAGAGTTCCTTGGTCTTCATGGCAGTGTTTGTTTAGTGGTGCCTCTTGCTTAGGTGTTGCAGCCTCTGGGACCTTTCAAAAAGGTGTGTATATGTAATGACAGATCATGTGACACTTAGATTGCACACAGGTGGACATCATTTCACTAATTATGGGACTTCTGAAGGTAATTGGTTGCACCAGAGCTTTTTATAGGCTTCATAACAAAGGGGGTGAATACATACGCGCATGCCAATTTTCTGTTTAATATTTCTAAAAAATAGTTTTATGTATATATTTTTTCACTTCACCAACTTAGACTATTGTGTTCTGATCCATCTCATAAAATTCAGAGTAATAAAACATTGAACTTAAGGCTGTAATGTAACAAAATAGGTAAAAAGTCAAGGGGGGGTGAATACTTTTGCAAGGCACTGTACGCCACTACTGGCAATGCAACAGTTTTATCCATTAACCTGTAGTGGTTCTCATGACTATTGTCTCTTTAAAGTTTACAGTCTGAACTTTGTTCTCTTATTAACAGTTAAAATCCAAAGTTCTCTAGTACATAGCCAAAACAAAACGTGTGTCACCGTGTAAATACATATAAACTGCAATGTATATTGCAAATATGAAGCTCAGATTGTTTTTCAGTGTGTCTATTATATGTAAACATGCCACTTTATCACCTGCACTTTACTTCATCCACAGCAGATACTTGTCACAGTTCTGCCCTTGCTGCACATCTTCTCTCGAATAACGGAATGCACGCGCTCCTCTAGTTAATTGGAGCATCACTCAAGAACCTTCTTCCTGAATTAAGAAGTAGTGCCCTGGGCTCTTGGCAAAAATGAGAAGGGTCGCATAAATTTGTTTTAAAAAAATGATTTTTTAAAAGTATTTTTCAACAAAGACAAAAGCTTGTTATATTAAGGTAGATCCTCACTGAATTAACTGATGGTTTGTTTGTACTGTTAACCAAATGACATTGATTGTGTGCACTGTTACCAAACGTTATTGATTGTGTGCTGGGCTATCAGCTATGACTGATGGTTTATATAAAATGTTTGCACACATCAGTGGTGGTTTTAAATGTAGTGTTATCAAACCTTTCAGAAAGATTGCAAACAGTGTTATCAAGTGCTATTAATGATTATTGGGTTGTGGAATTAGACAAGGTGACTCTTTTCTATCCACTAAAAGGCAATGGAATTAATTATTCCAGGTAACGCTATAGTTACTGGCCTACAACTCGCTGTAACTGTATGCTTGCCATTATACGATTATTAATGTCACGTGTAGTCAAATGTGGATTTTTAGGTGGCTCATTAAAATGATATATTTATATGATATATTTATATACTATACTAGCCCCTCAATACACAATAACAAAACCTGTTAACCTAGGATTTAACTCTGTTGCAGACCGCTGTCCTATCTCATTTACGCTGTTTCTGATCTAATTGGACCTTAACCTATTGACCATTTATCATTTGGTTCTGTTTTGGAAGGTGTTGACTGAATTGGACACTTTGTTTATTTTAGAAAAATATCTTCACATTTTCAAGACTCTTTTCTTAGGATTTTGTAAGAGTCTCTGTTACTTGGAGTGCAGAACAAAGAATAATATTTTAGTTTCCTCTCATCTTTACTGGTATCCTATGAAGCGGATCAAATTAAAGAAAAACAGGTAATGATGGCAATCTGGTTATGTATGGAGAGGTTTAGGGAATAATTAGAGCGTGGATACAATGGAAAAACAAACACACGACTGATAGAAATTGTCCCCAAACAAAGGTAACAGCTTTAATTCAATCATGCCAGTAAACGCCAGTGCACATTATTACCGTGTTAGGTGCGTGAGACCTAAAGTGCACCTTGGCAGTTTAATTATTATGTTATAACACACACATTTCTCATTGTAAAAGGATACTCGTGGCAATTATTGTTAAGCAAATGGAATATAATCCAAAGGTCGTGTTTTGTGCAAGATTCAAAAAATGTTTTTGTTTATTGCATTGAAACATAGAACAATTACAAAAATCTATAGCTACCGCAGTGATATCAGGCAGCAGGCACTAGTCCCTGCCATTCCAGGCGATGTAAACTACTGACAAAGCATCTTGGGAGATGTAGTTCATACCATTTGGAACGTCAACGGTTGCTGACGTTGAAGGGAATAAATTCTCTTTTCTGTAGTAATCAACCTATTATATCTTTGTAATAGGAAATACAAAAACATATTGATGGTGCCTTATAACATTTTAGAACTGTTCATGAATCAATTCTTTTTTGTTTTGTTTTTGTAAGCCAATGAAGATTTGAAGGGATGATTATATAAGTTAAATATAAAGATTTATTTGTTCTAGCTGTGGATCAAGATTGAGTTGGCTAGTTTCTCAAGCTTCATGGTGAAAAAGTTAATAACCTGCCGTAGCCCATCAACTTTAAGCAGTTTAGGTCCATATATCCGCAACGTTCTAGAGGTGGAAAACTAGTTCTCATTGTGTTGCAGTGATCAAGAGCCAGAGTAGATGCATAAGAGCATTGCTTTCTTCTTGAACAATGTGATGACCATGTTTGCTATGTGGACTGAATAATCTATTAATTTTCTGTGATAGTAGTGGCACAGTTCATGTAACCTATGTAAATGGGGACCAAAAGGAGGCCATCCCACCTCCTGTACATTACTTCTGACGGAGTGCCAAACTGCTACATTGCTTGCCTGCTGTTCTAACTGTTTCTTCTTTTCACTGTGATACGACTTTCATCGCAGCACTTCAAGAGACTGCTCTTTCATTTTGACTGTTCTGCATTCTGTTTGTCCTAACACAAGGAATAGACCTGAGCACCGTTGCATGCTATTCTTTGTGTCTAGAACAGAATAGCATTGTGGACTAATAGCTTTGTAGTTCTATAAATATAACCCAGTTCAAGTTATTAACATATTTTAGGAGCATTGAAAACTGAATTATTCCTTTAATCTCAGAGGAAACAAAAGTGTCAAAATCGATGGCAGTAAACCCAACTCTTCACCAGTAGAACCGCTCTGCAGGTCTTTCCCATGAATGTAGTTCAGTTATATTGTCAAAACCTTTGTACAGAATGTCATTGTTTTCCAAAGTTGTCTTATTTAGTTTTCTTTTGTCATTGGAGAAGAATTCAGTGTCACTGCAGCTTTCTGTTGCATCATAAACCTCCTTTTCTTTTGCCCAATTCTTTCTTTGTGTCTCTAAATTAACGAGTGATCCCAATCTCTGCAAAATCTGTTTAAGGTCTGACCATGTCTAATAATATTCATCACTATAACAAAGTAATCATGTAGTGTTTTTACTCCAAAGAGAATTTAAAAGATTGGCAAAATCTCAAGGACTTTACTAATTTGGCTGTTGATCATTTGTCTCACCATTGGATTTCAGTATGAATACTAATCAAAATTTGGATGCATCTAGTGTAGATCATAATGTCTTCCTATCCCTTGAAACAAGTCAATAGTTGTGTAAGATCCCTGTAGATGTTATCTGCCTACTGTCTTGCTCTGGTACACATACAGGATACTTAAAAACACTGGAACACTACACATTTTCCACAAGAACCAATAAGGCATATTGGAAACAGACGCACCATAGGCACATTGAAGTATTGTAGGCACATCTTTTATTTATTTTAGTAGCTACACTTTAACAAGTCTTCACTATGCCCATTCCCCTTGGTGTCCTGTCCTCTGCCTATACTTCTAGTCCTCTGTAATCACTGCGTCTCCCAACAGTGGAAGCCCTGCGTGTGGAGTGGCGCGAGGGGAGGTGCAGTGCTGCTCTTTACCATCAGAGAAGGCTTCCTGTTGTACGAAGGTTTATTCTGCGAGTCCCAACGGAGAGTCAAGAGTTCCTGGAGGTGACGAGTCTTCCATTGCTGTTATCCAAGGCTTCTGCCCCTGCCTGCTTAGCTTGCTACGTTAGATTCCGTTTTCCCTCCCTTATAAAATGCTCTGCCCGGAATGCGGTTGTAATGCATTGCTATGCAAATCGGCCATAAATAAGTTGTTCCTAAATTGTATTCATGACAGTGGCAAATTATACAAAAAAAAACTATAAATATATATTTCTAAAAATAAATAAATGAAAAATTACCTTATACAACTGAATTGTGAAATAAATATTCATATACATTGTATTTTTTTCCCCCTTGTCTGGGTTCTGTATTCATCTGCCGTGTGAGATATAACAAAGCTGTGTTGGTTTAGTAATGCTATTCGTTTAAATCGTACAGTTACATTATGCATGAAAAATATGAATTGAATTTGTCAGCTTTACCTATTACTGCTGGAAGAATCCTTAAAAGCATAGACTAGTTCATAGTAGCTCCCTTTTTACAGGAACCCAAATTACATACATAGCATTAATTTAGAGAGTTGACCTTTTATTACCATAACCTTTATACTGGTCTTATGGTTTCAGTGGCTGGTAATATGTTATTTTATAAGTACATTTCAGCCACTCAAGTTACACAAATCAAACTAACAGTGCAACAGAAAATGAAAATCAGATTCATGTATTCTTACAAAACCACTTGCATCTAAACAAAAACCCAGTAGTACCATAGCAAACGCTCTTATTTGAGACATATTAGATTCCTGGGAAACACTAAAGTCAGTTGCTATTTATATATTATAAATATATGTATAAACTATGCATATTGTTTCATCGTGTTCCCATCAATTTCAGGCATCCTCGAACATAGTTCCCAAATGCAGCAATATGAAGAAAGCAACTGTAATTGTGAGTGAGCCTGTCTGTGTGTTGCATTCTACAGCAACTGGAATGACAGGGAACATATCGAACATTCCAACTGTTGAAGTACAAAAGACAATAGAAATAAACAAATCTATAACATAATAATTGAGTAACGTATATAATGCTATCTCAGGGGTTCTGGAGATATGCAGACGAGTTGACCTTTCATGGTTTATGATGTCTCCAGAACCCATCAGTAGCATCATTTCCCATAGTATCTTTGTTAACATTAATTCATGTAATATATATTGAATCAATATCTACACTTGAGGGCCCTTCTAGTTATCAAAGTTATCTAGCATGCCATTTAGTTATCAAAAAGGACTCCTTCTAAGAAGCATAGCAGGAAATGTTTCAGATTTGATAAAATTATGTAAGCTTGCCTGTTAAGAAGCAGGCTTAAAAACAAAACAAAATTAGACGTAGTGAGGACAAAGTACCACCCTTCTATGTAGATCTGGAAGAAGAATGCTTTCTCACTTATCACAGGTCTGTCTCAGCGCAAGACACACAAAGCTTTATTTTGGATCTTTGCTTGGCAAACAATACAATCATTGCGGTGAAATGAAATGATGCAGTAAACACATCTCTATTAAACCTCATTTGTCTTTTATTGCATTTTCCTTTCTTTCTCTCCCCCGTATTTACTTTCTCTCTGTTCCCCACCTGATGTTTTCTCGTTCTGTATCCTGGGAGATTATGATGAGGTTTCCATAGAAATTCACCTTATTGCAGTTGGATCTCAAAGCGAGTGTGTAGGAGGGGTGGGGAAGGTCTAGATAGGAGAGCGTATTATCTTTTATAAGTAGACATTATGCATGACTGACAATTGCGGTGCACGTTCCCTAGCCTTCTTACCCCTTGCAGAGCATTTCACAGCATGCAGTCTTGCAGCCTCTTTCTAGCATTGCACCGCAGACCGGTTTTCTCTTAACTCTTTCTCTCTGACAGAGTTCTCTGTATGCAGCACTAATTACGTCTCCAGTAATCGTATGAAACAGCCAAAAGTCTATGCAGCTTTGAGCATTAGGATATGCGTCTAAAAAAGCATCTTTCCTTAGTGCTTTGCCTTGGGTTATATGTTTGCATTCACACTGCCTATGACTAATGTTTGAGGTGGGTTTTTTTTTCTACAGGCCGTATCTCTTTTCCTCATTATAATTATCATCTACTGTTATTCGAAATGTTCAATGAGGGGTTCATTTTCTCTCCCAATGTTCTGCATGCTGTTTTAATGGCCTGAAATTTGGACTCCCCATTCTTCCTTCCTGGGTATGTCAGTGTTATGGATTCTCTGATTCATACTCTCTCTTTTCCATGTTTCCCAATTGTACCAAATCTAGCTTTCCTCCAACATGAATCAACTTCCAGAGAAGAGGTTGCATCGAGTATTGGGGACTGTTTTCAGGCTCTTATTCTGTAGAATTCACAGTTAGTTCGTCTCAGATCAATCAGTCCACGTTGACCTTAATAATCTGTTCTGGAAGTTTTCTAGCATTTGTATATAAATAATTCAAGTTAAGTTAGAATTGCAAGATAACTCTGCATGTGTAAGAATCAGAATCATTTCATTAAAATTAACGAGTAATAGCTAGGTCAGTGTGCGATTTCTTATCTTAGGAGGAACTATTGTTCTCTTCAAGTAGCATGACTGTTTATCTGAAATACTCTAAACTTTCTTTTACCCACAAACTTTCTCACAGTCTCTGTAGAGTTGAGTCAACAATCAAGCTTTATTTCTTATTTTTGTCCTTATTGGGAACTTCTGGGACAAAAACTCAGTTTAACGCAAGGTTTCCCATCCATTATTACAGAAAGCATGGCATTTTACATTTGGAATAGTCTAATCAAAATCTGGATCATATTAAAATGTTGTGACTGAAGTAAGCTGTCCTGGCAAGGAAGTCCTTAAATAACACCAAACTGAACTAGGTAGATATTGATTAATAGATCAAAATTCTTCAAAACTAGAGGTGTGATATTCACCACCAGTTTCAAGAAACACATGGTTAAGGTCATATAGACAGGTGCTGTTGCTAATATAGGTGCTGCCCCTATTGCTATAGCAAACATTTAGAAGCAGTTAGAGATTACCTAGTGTTCTTCTCGATACCCAGAGTACTCCACCTCTTGAAATGAACACTTCTACATTATCAATGTGTATTCCATCCAGCATGGAAAGTAGTGATTGGCTGAGATTGCTGGTGGTTCGTTGACTCAGCGCATAATTGGACATAAGTGACACTGATAATGCAAATATATTCATTTCATATTATCAATGCCGCTGAAGAGGGGCTACTCTCTGGGTGCTGCAGAGAGATCTCTTGTTTTGTTGTTTTTTTTTAAATTATTCCACCCCTGAATTTTTTTTACGTAAAACGAGGGTACAGCACTCAGAGACTCTAGGCAACATTACCACTACACTGAGCTGTAGCATCACATATTTGTTCCATACTTTTGTATTTAATGTTTAGTCAGCTGTTGATAAGAAATACTGAGGATTAGGTTTGTGTGTCATTTATTTAACAAGACTAATTTCATTTTTAAAGGATTATCATTTTTATTATAATAAAACTGGAGATGCAAAATGTGTCACGGGTTTAAGGGGTCACAGAATTTCTTACAATATTGTTATGGGAGCAATTGTAATTGATACAAGCAATTTCTGTGATTGATCCTGTAGTCTAATAGGATTGTATTCTACTGAGACCTTTCTAAGTTGTAATAATTTTGTCTAAATTGTGTCTTAACCTAAGTAATAGGTGGGGTTGTGAAATATCTCATCTTTTAGAATTACAATCAGTAAATAAAAGAGGTATAAGCAGAAAGCAAGGAGAACAAAGGATGCAAAATAAGTGCAAGTACAATGACTGTCACCTATCAGTAAAGTCTGAGGAATTTAAGGTAGCTGTATCATTTTGGGGGTCGTAAATATTTAGCAAAGACCCGTTTGGTGGCATCTCCACTTGGTGTGAAGCAGCTGAGAGGTGCAGTTGAAGGTAGCAATACCTACCTGAAGCTCTCTTTCCATGGTGCCTCCCTCTTTTTTATTCTTCATCTCCTTAGACTTCATACCCCAGGATCCCAAGCACTTCCTTATTTCCTTCCATGCGCTTGTATGAGAGTACAGCACAGAAGTAATTGGCGGATCCCACAGGCTCCTCCATAGACCAACTCACGAGACATACGAGGAGACATAAGTTGACAGCGGAATTTCTGCCTTTTGACAAATGGTTTCATCTTCATGCTTGACCTTCAGATAAAGTAGCCCAATTATTATTATTATTATTATTATTTTATTATTTATATAATGCCATCAGATTCCGTAGCGGTGTACAATGGGTGAACTAACAAACATGTAATTGTAACCAGACAACTGGACGTACAGGAACAGAGAAATGGAGGGCCCTGCTCAATAATTTCAAAGAAATCCCAGCACTGTCAATATGAGTATTTCCTAAAGATTATATCTTGAAATAATCATAATTGGTATTATGGTTACAGAAACGCTTAAAAAATCATCTAACCACTCCCACAATAACTGCAATTCTTATTGTATTACACTATTATATGCTGCAAAGTGTGAGCTTATCTACTTGTAGACTTGTAGAATTTAAGTTATTTTATTTATTTTATTTGACTTGCTGTTTCTGAAAACCTTAGGTTTGTATACTTGCGTTATAGAGTAAGCTCCCAGGCGGTTGCATGGTGAAATACATATGGTGCAAAATAACCACACAAAAAAAGTAATTTGCACAGGAAATCTGGACAGATGGTTATCTTCTTAGCAAATGGTAATGGAATGATCCCTGCTGTGATGTAAACTACAAGCCAGCCAGAGACATACCACTCCTCTTAGATCAAAGCAAGCTCAGAATGCAAGTGTGGAAATTGCAACAGGATCAAACTGACCCAATCAAGGGACATATGGTCAAGTAAAAGTCAGCTTTGATTCCCAGGACAACAGCGCCATACGCATTTGCTCATTTGATTACTATCAAACATCTGTAATAAATATACCTTATGTCAGGACATATTTCACTTGGGCTGTCTTTACAGTGTGTCAAGAAACGTTTAGGGACATCATAACTTGGAAAGCACATCCTTTGTTTCTGAAACATTTTCATACAGTGACTTTTTTATGTCCTTTTCTCTCAATTTCAAAAAAAAAAATTAAACCGTTTAAGAAAGGCATACAAGGACAGCACGCTAATAGCACGTGCCTCTTGTATGTGCATAAAGACAATATCGAATGCACTCCAAATGGGATGTGTTTATTGTTAAAAAAATAGTGCCAAAAAATAGAAATTTGAAGTTTCTGTATTTTCTGAAAAAATAACAAAACTTTGCAACTTCAACAGTTCTTACCAAATCAATATTTGGTGCAGCCAATAAGAATACTCCCATTATTGTCAATAGCAGTCAAGCATAGACACTAGACCCGTACTTATCATTGGCTTATAGGGTGTGTAGTTCAGTACTTGGAAGCAATTATATCCAGTCAGCGCCATAGTTACGCTCCATTGCAATGGAGGTGGATACAAGTACTTGTACTGGCAGAGGAGAGGGCATAAGATTTCTCTCGTGTGACATCAATCACTGAGAAATTGGGAATAGTTTGAACAAGATTTACAAAATGCTGCAGTTATAAACAAATTTGTGAGACAGCGGCAGGGGACATTCTTGTGCATGCAACAAGTGTGGCAGATAATGTTTCTAAAATCACAATGTGGAGGTTGTTTTCACATATGGGTTTCTGCAATTTTGAGTACATTATAATTCAAAAGAATAACGAGGGATCTTGCAATGATTTCATTATTTACTTAAATAATCAGCCTGGGCAAAAAGTTATTTTCATATTTCTCGGAAAACATAAAAATGTATAACAGGTGATTGGTATGTTCATAATTTTCTCTATAGGTTTTAAACCATTTTGGGTTTTAAATACGTTTTGGGTTCCACAGATAGAAGTTATTTGTGGCAGGTTCACTCAGTGATACTGTAGGATTATTTTTAAAAATGTTGATTTAAAAAGTCTATGTCATTACATTAGTGCATAATATCTGGACAACAGTGATACCATTATAGCTCTGTTAAAAATTATTATTGGTATTATTGGTATTTATATAGCACCAACTTATTCTGTAGCGCTTTACAGTATTATAAAAGGGGGAAATTTTACAATAAATTAGACAAAAAGGTTACAGAAGCAATTGGTTGATGAGGACCCTGCTCAAAAGAGCTCACAGTCTACAGGTTTTGTTTGCTCTTTGGTTACAATGCTGTACCCAGTGCTTTAATGTAGCTGAGAACCCTTTCAGTACTAGGTTTAAAGGACCACTATAGTGCCAGGAAAACATACTCGTATATAGTGGCTCTGGGGAGAGGAAAGGGGTAAAAACTTACCTTTTTCCAGCGCTGGGCGGGGAGCTCTCCTCCTCCGATCCTCCTCCGTTCCGCCCCGTCGGCTGAATGCGCACGCTCAGCAAGAGCTGCGTGCGCATTCAGCCGGTCGCATAGCAAAGCATTCCCAATGCTTTCCTATGGACGCCAGCGTACTCTCACTGTGAAAATCACAGTGAGAAGCACGCAAGCGCCTCTAGCGGCGGTCAATGAGTCAGCCGTTAGAGGCTTTGGGGGAAGGCTTAACCCATTGATAAACATAGCAGTTTCTCTGAAACTGCTATGTTTATGAAAAAATGGGTTAACCCTAGCTGGACCTGGCACCCAGACCACTTCATTAAGCTGAAGTGGTCTGGGTGCCTAGAGTGGTCCTTTAAGGCTGGTTACGGTTATAGGAGTTTATGGGTAAAAGCTAGAGGGTTTTTAGGGGTAGGGCAGACTTAACAAAGGTACAGAGAACTCCACTACAGCTCATCAGCTAATTGTAGTTCTTATGGTTCAAGGTATTTTTAGGTACACTCATCCTGTTTTCTGTTGAATGTTTTTTGAGTGATTAACAAAACCAGGACTTAACAGCCCAGTGATTTGAATAACCAGGGTTCTCCCAGTGCTTGCAGTCTCTCATTGTCTTCCAAGGTTAGAGAACTATGGATGGATTAAATGGAAAGGAAACTTTTTTTGTGTGACTGGTGGCGCAGTAGGAGAGAGGTCAGACTTTAAGTGTCAGGAAAGATTTTTGACAAACTTTAAAAGTGGTTTAACAAAAATCAGATGGACTGCACCCAAAGACTCCTTGCACGATAACCACTACAATAAGCTGTAGTGCTTATGGTACTTATGGTGCCTCATTATGATTAGGCTTAACCTTGCTGAGAACCATGGGACTTACGGTCCATAGCATCTTGGAGAGAGATGCCCCTAAACCCAAACACTAAGTCTGCCGTACCCTGATGCTTAAAGCCCCCTAGTCCTTCCTACACCCACACTTAACCCTATTCCCCCCCTAACCTGAACCTCAGTCTAGTAGTGACAGAGCTAATGCGTTTCTCTGGTATTTCAGCGATGCTATAATGTTCTTGCTTTTTAGCTTTTTTTTATATTTTAACTATGTTTCAATATGTTTACACTGCTCTAATATGCATTTTTCAGGTCGTACCCACTTAATCCAAAATCAGAAATGTCTCAAACTGGTGACTGCTTGTGTTTGGGTGCTGTGTGTACTGTGTATAATTATGCATAATACATAGAGTTATGAGAAAATCCTTGTGTATTGTCTGTAAATTTAAGTAATTCTTGGTCATATTTGTCACAGCTCCCGTCTGCCACTGTCAATATACAACCATATGGGATAATATCCTGCGTTCGTAGCTCCTACTGTCTTTTCTGCTGTGTAACCAAGTGCTCATTCCTTAGTCTTGCACCCTTTTCTATCTCTTTCACTGTGTAACTGTGTACCCTTCACTCACAGCTTCCTTCTATATCTTCTACTGCATGTGATTGCTCTCATGTCCAGCTCTTGTAGCTCCCTTCTGTGTGTGTCTCTAGGGCTGATATCTGTTATCACAGCTCATTGCTGCTTCTGTTACAATGTCTCCTTAAGGGTTCATACCAGGCTGCTGCAGCTTCCTTCTGTCACTGTGTCTTTCTGTGTTGTCATACCTGGCTACCACAACTCTTTACTGTCCTTGTCACTGTGTCACTCGGCACGTTTCATATTTTATTATAGCTTTCAGTCATGGCAACCTTCCGCTGCTCATCTTTACTCCTTTTTATTTCTGTCACTTGTTACCCTGCATACCATTCTGTACTAGTTTAATTATGTGTCTGTCACTGCTTCATTCATCAGGCTCATATATGAAGGCCACAACTCTCTTTTGATCCCTAATTTGTTTCTTTTGTGATAGTTAAATGTTGAAGACACAGGTGAGATGTTGCCCAAGTCTCGACGAGCACTCACCATCCATGAGATCACGGCCCTTGCTCGCTCCTCTCTGCACGGTGAGGCCATTGCTTTCGCACACATGCTTTGATGTACAAGAATTGTAGAAGCTTATATCTTTACAGCCGATAGACACACATACAGCACAATATAGACCTGCATTCTAGCAACAGACAGATGTGAGAAGAAACTGTCTGACAATGAAAGGGTACCAGCAGGGCTTCAAAACTAGATTTCTGGCCAGCAAATTAGTTAACAAAATAGGAAAGAGCTGTATTGGTGCTTTATTTATAGAATACTTGTGTAATGGTAATGATGCATTAACTGCACATTCTGAAGACAACACTCAATATTTTACGTTGAACAAACCACTTCATGCTGAACTGATTGGTGTGAAATTCCATTTTGTGATGGTATTGTTAATTGACGATGCTTGGATAGATTTTAGAGGGTGTGTGGAAACACTGAGCAAGGCCTGGGAATGGATTGAGAAATCAGGTTTCTCGTTAAAGGGGTTTCATGTCTTCTAAATTAATATATGTTGATTATCAGGTTACACCCCTGTCTCCATTAAAATTATCCAAATTGCTGACCGGCCCTCTACCTTTTGTAATACCAGCTCTGAATCATGTGTACCTGGCCCTGATTGTTTTAAAAACCATGACTCAAGAATAATGTTCCTGGCATCGCACCCCATACAGTCTGAATCTTAAGTGGCCATATATGTTTCTATAATTTATATGAAAGAAGCGAAAAGATCTGGCGCTCACAAATTCCCAAAACAGCTATTTTTTGTTCGGAACCAACCAGCAGCATTTCAGTAAGTTAATTTCTCGAACCTTGAGGCTCATGCTTGAGAAAAGCCTCATTGGGACTCAAACATTGCCGGGGGGTTCTCATTAAAATAATTGCTGTTTTGGGATTTCGTGAGTGCCAGATCTTTTTTGCTTCTTCCATATCTATTTTAGGAATGCGGCCCTGAACCCGAGTGCACCGCGATTGCCATCTCACTGCCCAATTGGTTAATTTCTTCTCTTTTGTATTCTATTATATCATTTATACAAACCTGCACATGTATCAAAGCTATTATCCGTTAACAGTCCAGCAAAACATATATGTAAAAAAACTATTATAGAGGTTTGTTTTGATAAATCTAATAATATCAGCAACACGCGAGCTGCATTACACATAAACACATGCCAAAGGGACTGGGCAGTTCAACCCAAATAATGACATATAGACAGCACATGTGAGTGATGGCTCCAATCTTGTTTCCCTTACTTGTTTCTCTTGCTCCCAGGAATATCCCAGGTGGTGAAGGACCATGTAACCAAGCCAACAGCAATGGCTCAAGGTCGTGTGGCACACCTGATTGAGTGGAAGGGTTGGAGTAAACCCAGCGATTCTCCGGCTGCTCTGGAAACTCACTTCAACTCATACTCACATCTGAGTGAGGGCGAGCAGGAGGCAAGGTTTGCAGCAGGTGAGGTAAAGGTGACCAAAACAGAAAACAAATGCAAACATGCAGTGGCGTACTAAGGCGGGGGGGGAGGGGGAGCGGAGAGGGCGGTCCACCCCGGTTGCCACTCACTAGGCTAGTGCCAGGGGTGAATTTTCATGCCGCTTGCAGGAGTCCCAACATCCAGCAGCAGCATGTCCTCTGTTCTCGCGATCCGCGAGAGCGTTGCCATGCATTGCTATGGCAATCCGCGGCAAGGCTCTCTCGAATCGTGAGAACAGAGGACATACTGCTGCTGGATGTGGAGACTCCTGGGCCCCTCTTCACTGGAAAACCATACTGTCACCGGACAACCAGGGAATGTTGTGTGTCACCGTCCCCCCTTCCTGGAAATAAGAGTCCAGGAGTAGGGGGGTGACACACACAAACAATACACACTGCTCACTATACACACTATACACACCCCCACATACACAATTTACACACACACACTGCATACACACTATACACACACACACTGCACACACGACACACACACAGCATACACAGCATACACACTATACACACACTGCATACAGTACACAAACACACACTGCATACAATAAACACACACACACTTATAACTGTGTGCCTGTTTATCTGTATGTGTATCTGTATCTGTATGTGTATCTGTGTGTCTGTGTTTGTATCTGTGTGCCAGTGTATCTGTATGTGTGTCTGTGCCTATGTGTCTCTATACATGTGTGTCAGTGTGTGTCTGTAAGAGTGTGTGTTTATATCTATATTTGTGTTTGTATCTGTGTGTCTCTATCTGTATGTGTGTCAGTGTTTGTCTGTATCTGTGCATGCCTGTGTTTCTATGTATCTGCATGTGTATACCTATTTTTTCTATGTATCTGTATGTGCCAATGTGTGCATCTGTGTGTCTATGTATCTGCATGTGTGCCAGTGTGTGTATATTTGAATATATGTGTATATGTGCATACATCTCAGCATTTCGCCAACACTACACACAAATACACCCCTGCATCAAAATATCAACACTACATAAAAACGCACCACATATTCAAAAAACACACTAAACAAAAATGCACGCCTGCATTCACATGCCAACACTGCATGCAAACACACCCCTACATTCACTCAGACATACTTCATACATAAACATGCTTACATTCAAACACACAAACACTACTCAGTGCTAAATACATTAAAAAAATATGCAAACACTGCTCAATGCTAAATAATTTTTTTTTTAAATGTGTGGGTGTTTTTTACATTTTCAAATTGGGGGATGGGGCCGGGGGTATGCCAAACAGAGGCGGATCTCTAATTAGGCGGTTTAGGCGGCCGCCTAATGCCTCGCGCTGGCTGGGGCCTCGCGGCTGCCTAAACCGCCTGTGGGCAGTCTGTGTCAGGTCCTCGGTCACTGACCGAGGACCTGACACCAGGAGGGGGCCCGGCGGCTTGCCCGGTATGCCGCCGGGTGCGAGGCCCTTCCTGGCTGCCCGGCCAGCTACCGCAGACACCGGTCTGCAGCTCCGCAGTGAGCAGAGCTGCAGACCATGTGTCTCGCGAAAACTGGCCAATCAGAGTAACCCACAGCAACGCTCTGATGGTCTCGCGAGATTACATGGTCTGCAGCTCTGTGGAGCTGCAGACCGGAAGCAATGGCCACCAGACCACCAGGGAGCCCACTGGACGACCAGGGAAATTAAGGTAGGTTCTCGCTCAAGCTCTCGCTTCAAGCAGCTACTCCATACACATACGGTCTCAGACAAAAATGCAAACATGCTCACAGAGACATACATTCACACACACAAGGATACTCTCCATCAGACACACTCTCAGGCACATACACAGGTAGACAGTGCCTCAATGTGTATATGTGACACTTTTTTGATAGTGGGGCCTCATGTTTGAGTTTCGCCTAAGGCCTCATAAAGTCTAGAGCCGCCTCTGATGCCAAATATAAGATCCGCCCCAGGTGCCAAATGCTCCTGGTACGCCCCTGCAAACATGACAGCGACTCATTCCATTGCATCTACCAGAAGATCTACATTATTTCTACAGGTTTTGTTCTATCACACAATGCTGCTGCTGATTCCCCTTCTGTCTGTTAAACTTATTGTAACTAATATAACTGTGCTTATGTGTTTCTACTGTATGCTGTTCTTAGAGTCATACTCTCAATGCCAGTCCTGGTTACTCCATTCACCTTTGCTTACTAGTTCTCTATTTGCCAATCCTTTTTTTCTTGGTTTTCTTGGCTGTTGCCATCTCTTTAGCTGCTCTTTGTTCGCAGTTTTTTCTTAACACTTCCTTTCTGACATTTTGATGATAAATGTATTGTCCATGACATTTTCACCCCCACTCTTTTAGAATTTATTGTTTGCGTTGTCTGCTAAGCTGGGAATTGTGAAGAACTGAATGACACATTTTAGAGACATGCAGCCGAGATGTTATATTACTGGGCTGGAGATTTCTTTTTCAGTTCAAGTATTCATTACTAAAAGTAGCAATTCCTTTGTTAGTTCTCTGTAATTAAATGTTTCATAAATAACTCTCCAAAGGAAACCAAAACTCTCTCACTCGGAACAGAATCAAAGTGGGGAAAAACAAACATATAAGTGGAGAGAAGGAACCAAAATTTGTTACACAGTTAAGACCAAATTTGTGCTTAGTGAGAAATGTGAAATATTTGGTTGAGTTATCTTTGTTGGAAATTGTATTGTAGAATTTTTTTCTCATATGGGCCATTTTGGACTAATAGTGGAATGTTCTGATCAATTACCAACATTTCCCAATTCAGTAACTACTGCATACCCTTACCTGTCTATTGTGTATATCTCGAATATGTCTTAGTTCTCTCTGTCTGTCTATGGCTTTTTTTCATTCCTCTTATTGTTTTGCATGTCCCTTATCTGTACTATTCAGTGTCCTACTTTTGTATTTGGTCTATGGTCAGTATTTCCATATTTAAGTTTTCTGTTGTTTCCAGGCCTTGAGTTTCTTACATATTTCCTATCATTCCATATGATTGCAAAGTTTACGTATAGTCCCTTGTCTGTATGTGTTTGGAAGGAACAGAGAGATCAATAGTTCACTCCTCGGTCTCTGCTCCTCTGCTATTTTGTGCCGCTACCTGGCTGAGCTGTCACAGCCTGGGCTGAGCAGTTTGTCTTGCTCTGCCATAGCGCTTCCCTATTGGGTGGGAGCCAGGGAACTTTGCCTTGCGCTGTTTTTGTGTGGGCAGTGGCCCTATATAAGAGGCAGTCTGTGAGATAAATAGGACACTCAGTTTTTCCTTCTCCTCCCCTTTTTCTTCTTACTACTTGGGTAGTTTTTGATGGGTTAACCCCTTCCTGAGTGTATTCCCTAAGCTTCCATCTCCTCATTTTTGTTCTTCTAAATCTCACAGACCGCCCAAAAAATAAAAATAAAGTTTATGCAGCTTGCCTCTTTCCCACACTTTATGCAAATTAACTTTAATTACGTTGTGGTCTTTATTTGGAATGTTCATTTGCCTGCCTAGATAAATGGGGGGTAAAAATTATAGATGGTGTTATACTGGCTATTAAAAATCCACAATGCTGTGTTTTCCTCTGGGTGTTAAATGCCAGGGATATGTTACAAGTTATATGATTAGTTATACAGTTGTGTTGTAAATAATTTTTTTAAAATTAAAAATGTTTTTAAATTCCTTACAGTAAAACCTATGGCCTTTCTCCAAACATTTGTTTCCGTGTTTCTGTATTTTATTAATACTGGTTTAAGTTTCCTTTCCATAACACATAACAATCCATACCGTGCTTATTTCTGTCCTTTATTCGGTTTCTGGTCTCTGCTATACTTTTCTTGAACTCTTGACAAGTTCACGTAACAACTGCCTTTCGTTCTAACACATTGTTTCAGGTGTAGCTGAGCAGTTTGCTATTGCAGAAGCAAAGCTCCGTGCCTGGTCTTCAGTTGAGGGTGACGATTCGACAGATGATTCGTATGATGAAGATATGTTGCCACCAATGGATCCATCCCAGCCTACAGGTAAATGTGGGACATATATGTGACATGCAAGTAGATCTCCTGAGGAAGGAGAGCAAGATATTAAACTGGGCTAGGCAAGTTTCCAACAACGTCAGGAAGCTTTGCATGCTAAAAGAGGCCTTGGAATGGGAAGCTGGTTCTATGGACCTGAAGGAGGAAAAACACCCTTTAGACAAGGACATTGAATGCTGGGTATAAAGTAAAAATAAGATCAATTGGTTAGGTCGAATAGATTTGGGATGGAAAATAAATGGTCATTGGAAAGTAAGTAAACTGGAAAGAAGGAAGCTTAAAGGATCACTATAGGGTCAGGAACACAAACATGTACAGGGAGTGCAGAATTATTAGGCAAATGAGTATTTTGACCACATCATCCTCTTTATGCATGTTGTCTTACTCCAAGCTGTATAGGCTCGAAAGCCTACTACCAATTAAGCATATTAGGTGATGTGCATCTCTGTAATGAGAAGGGGTGTGGTCTAATGACATCAACACCCTATATCAGGTGTGCATAATTATTAGGCAACTTCCTTTCCTTTGGCAAAATGGGTCAAAAGAAGGACTTGACAGGCTCAGAAAAGTCAAAAATAGTGAGATATCTTGCAGAGGGATGCAGCACTCTTAAAATTGCAAAGCTTCTGAAGCGTGATCATCGAACAATCAAGCGTTTCATTCAAAATAGTCAACAGGGTCGCAAGAAGCGTGTGGAAAAACCAAGGCGCAAAATAACTGCCCATGAACTGAGAAAAGTCAAGCGTGCAGCTGCCACAATGCCACTTGCCACCAGTTTGGCCATATTTCAGAGCTGAAACATCACTGGAGTGCCCAAAAGCACAAGGTGTGCAATACTCAGAGACATGGCCAAGGTAAGAAAGGCTGAAAGACTACCACCACTGAACAAGACACACAAGCTGAAACGTCAAGACTGGGCCAAGAAATATCTCAAGACTGATTTTTCTAAGGTTTTATGGACTGATGAAATGAGAGTGAGTCTTGATGGGCCAGATGGATGGGCCCGTGGCTGGATTGGTAAAGGGCAGAGAGCTCCAGTCCGACTCAGACGCCAGCAAGGTGGAGGTGGAGTACTGGTTTGGGCTGGTATCATCAAAGATGAGCTTGTGGGGCCTTTTCGGGTTGAGGATGGAGTCAAGCTCAACTCCCAGTCCTACTGCCAGTTCCTGGAAGACACCTTCTTCAAGCAGTGGTACAGGAAGAAGTCTGCATCCTTCAAGAAAAACATGATTTTCATGCAGGACAATGCTCCATCACACGCGTCCAAGTACTCCACAGCGTGGCTGGCAAGAAAGGGTATAAAAGAAGAAAATCTAATGACATGGCCTCCTTGTTCACCTGATCTGAACCCCATTGAGAACCTGTGGTCCATCATCAAATGTGAGATTTACAAGGAGGGAAAACAGTACACCTCTCTGAACAGTGTATGGGAGGCTGTGGTTGCTGCTGCACGCAATGTTGATGGTGAACAGATCAAAACACTGACAGAATCCATGGATGGCAGGCTTTTGAGTGTCCTTGCAAAGAAAGGTGGCTATATTGGTCACTGATTTGTTTTTGTTTTGTTTTTGAATGTCAGAAATTTATATTTGTGAATGTTGAGATGTTATATTGGTTTCACTGGTAATAATAAATAATTAAAATGGGTATATATTTGTTTTTTGATAAGTTGCCTAATAATTATGCACAGTAATAGTCACCTGCACACACAGATATCCCCCTAACATAGCTATAACTAAAAACAAACTAAAAACTACTTCCAAAAATATTCAGCTTTGATATTAATGAGTTTTTTGGGTTCATTGAGAACATGGTTGTTGTTCAATAATAAAATTTATCCTCAAAAATACAACTTGCCTAATAATTCTGCACTCCCTGTATTTCTGACCCTATAGTGTTAAAACCGCCATCTAGCCCCCCTGGGCCCCTCATGCCTCCATAAATGTAGCAACATCTTACTGTATTCAATCTAGAAGCTGTATGTGCATGCTGTTTGCCTCAGAAAATCAAGAAGGCTGCTGACATAATCAGAAGTGGTAGCCTGATCCAATCACAATGCTTCTCCATAGGATTGGCTGAGACTGACAAAGAGGCAGATCAGGGGCAGAGCCAGCATGATTCAAACACAGCCCTGGCCAATCAGCATCTCCTCATAGAGATGCATTGAATCAATGAATCTCTTTGATGAAAGTTCAGTGTAAGCATGCAGAGGGTGCAGACACTGAATGTTTGGATGCATTTTAGGCAGCCATGACACAGGAAGGATCTCTAGCAGCATTCTGAAGAGTGGCCAGTGAAGTTATCACTAGGCTGTAATGTAAACACTGCATTTTCTCTGAAAAGACAGTGTTTACAGCAAAAAGACTGAAGGTAATGATTCTACTCACCAGAACAAATTCAAGAAGCTGTAGTTGTTCTGGTGACTATAGTGTCCCTTTAATAAATGTCTGGAACCTTTGCACAATAAAAGGGACTGTGACAGGGAGATGTAGCTGAATCTCTGATGCTTCAGAGGAGAGTAGGGAAATAGAAGGAGACTAGGGTGAACAAAGAAAGTTATGGAGGGAAAGGAGGAGGAGAGGGAAAAATATTTTATAGATTATAGAAGGTAAGACGGGTTACAAGTAAGGGTGGTTGGAAGAAGCTAAGGTATTTCAAGAATGAGGAGCAAGACAATGTAAAGAGTAACAATTGAGATCTAGTCCCTGGTTTGGAACCTTGTGATGTTTACAGCTGTGATTCTCAGTATTGTTATCGATTGTCATTATTATTTACCATGAATACTCACCTACACTTTAACACCAAATGTTTTTATTTTTCACATTAAGTATTTATAGAGAATATTGTTATTAAGCCTAAGTATCATTTCAATGTATTTTTAATTTGGCTCAGACGCCCCATGGAGTACAAATAGCAAGTTCGTGAAACCTTATTGATTGCTAATTCTAAGACTAACTATGGTTGCTGGTTGCTATGGTTACATATTCTTCCAAATCAGCCTTTTGGTTGAAATTTTGCTAATTTTGTGGTTTATTCACTAAACTTACATTTTAGCAGATTGTGCTGATATTCCAATGGTGAACTGCCTCCATATTAAAACAGCTCAGAGCATGTTCAGAATTAGGCTTGTTTTCACTTTCGTAAACACTCTGATCGATGGCTATCTATTACCTAGCATCCATAGAAAATTCATTATGTGAGGCTCAAAATTCCCATTCACACACTAGCAATTGGCAAATGAAAATTCAGCTATATCAAGTGTGCAATGGGCCCTCCAGGTAAGCAGTGACAATCAACTTTCAGGACTATCTAATTGTGTAGGACTTGAAATGGAAATTAACTAAATGTATATATTGTAATGGTACCTAGGACCCATATGAAAACTAGAGCAAAGGTTGATTGGAAATCCCCATGCCCCGTATTTTGGTTTCAGGGGTTAATAACATCCAGGAACAATGCAGTTCCATTGCCTTATTGCCTGTGATATTTAAAGATTAGAAAGAACCACTGGACTGTGGTCCTAAACAAGACGGGGGCACAAACCCGAGCCTCCTTCTGGGCTTCATCCAGTATAGATCTTAACTTTTTAATCTATATTTTTTTTAAAGGTTTACACCAGTAGCACTGCTAAACACCACGTGTCTTGGTGTCAAAATGTTTCTGATACTAAAAGCAGATATATTGAAGCAAACCCATCAAGTTCTGAATCTTTTCACATGATCCCTGTTACCAACATTAGGGTTGGGATTTCTCTTGTGTTTCAAACTTACAGTACTTTTTTCAGATATGAAAGATCCACTACTAGCTAAAATATCTGTACTGTTCTCATGGAAGTATACAAGTCCTCTTTACTTTAGCATGCTACAGTTTTAAAGAGGTTACTAGACACACAGCTGCTCTTTAGAATGTCACGCCTTGAAAAGATAATTCCATACATGCAGCCTTTCTACAGCGCTGGAATGGTTGCTACATGCACTCAGCCTTCTTTCAGTGCTAGAATGGGTACTGCACACACACAGCTGGGCTTCCAAATGAAAATATCACCATTGTTATTCATTATCAATATCACCAATGTTATTCTTTGTTTTATCGTCAAATTCAAAGGTTACATATTACATGTATCAAACTAAATATTAGCTTTGAGTTTAATAAGTTCAGTAACGTATGATGAATCTATAATTGCAGTAAAGCTATGTTTATAGGGATTGTAGTGTGTGTGTATAGGGGTTGTAGCAAATGTGTATATATTTTAGTGGATGTAGTCAGGACTGTGGTGTTTTTTAGGGAATGTAGTGTATGTATGTAGAGAATGTAGTGTTTGTGTGTGCAGGGGATGTAATGTGTTTGTTTAGAGAATACAGTGTGTGTATGTGTATTTAGGGAATATAGTATATGTGTGTGTATATAGAATCCAGTGTGTTAAGGGAATGCAGCATGTGTTCGTGCGTATAGTGGATGATGTGTGTATAATGTGTATGTGAAATAGTGGGATGGGATAGATTATTATTGTGTGGGTGTGATAGATGAGCAATTAAATATTTTGTTGTTATTATTTTTTTTAATTTAAATGTATTTTAATTTAAGTTTATTCCCCCACCCTACTTCTTTGGCCAGGAAAGGGGGACATGACAATCCATGATGGTCTGGTGGTGAAGGACTCTAGCTTGTACCACTACCTGGTGCAGACTAAGTATGCTTTTCTTGCGAGTTCTGGCACTGTGTAGCATCATGGTGTTGCCATGGTATTGTCAAAGCATGTAGGAAGGATAATCTGTCTGCACCTGGTGGAGGTGCATAGTAGAGTCTCCTTGGCCGCCCTTCTGCAACAGAAGGGAGCATTGGGCTGGTGAGGGAGATCTTTGATCTCTGTATATATGTGTATATATATTTATATATATTAAAGGGGAAAAAAAACCTGCATTCTATATTATGTAAAAAAAATGTATGTGTGTGTATAATGTGAAAGCATATATATGTAAGCTCATTTGAACAGGGCCCTCAACACCTTCTGTTCCTATGCGCTCAACTCGTCATGTTGCAAATACTTTTCTGTTAACCTATTGTAAAGCACTGTGTAATTGCACTTTATAAATAAAAATAAAAATGTACATATGTATGTTTGTCAATGCACATGTGTATACTTAAGCTTTTCATGCAGAGCTTTCTTCTTCACAATGTTTGTGTTTTTTTTTATGTAGACTTCTTAAAATTGACCACTCTGATCCCTGATGAGTGTATGACTTAATGCCGTTGTCTACCATATTGCAGATTTTCTGGGCCCTGTGCAGAAGGATTCAGTATCGTCACGTGTGTGCTGTTGTGACAGTGACTCCTCACACACCTTGTCCCCTGAGACTCTGTGTTCCAGCCTATGCAGCTTGGATGAGGAGCCACTTCTCTTGGCATCTCCTACTCAGGTGACTGAGGAGTCATTGCTGACCAAGCCCCAGCAAGTTCATGGTCCCTATGATCGTCTCCATGATATGGAATGCGAGGACTCTTCATATTCAATGTCCTTCTCTGAGTCCTGTCTAAGTCCCAGTGAGGACGAGCTGATAACCTTCCCTGCTGTGGGTCGGGGATCCGGGGGCCTCAGTTTGTGCAGAAAGGGCTCAGACGTAGTGTCTTCAGGTGTGGTGTCTTTGGATGAAGATGAAGAAGATCAACCCTGAACTGTGCTCAGACTGCCACTATTATCATCCCAATGTTCCTGTTTTCTTATTTCATTTATTTTCTTTCTTTGTTAATTTATTTTTTATTTGCCATGACCCAAATAAATCCTAAAACAACCAGAGGGCATTAAATCACCCAACAAATGCATAATTTGTCTTTTACTATCTTAAGAAAACTTCTTCAACCTCTTTTATTTTCTTTAATATATTATAAACACGCCTTTTCATTTTCACTCATTTTGTGTCAACCCCTATTTTTTTTCCTTTTTCACATTCCCTTCTTCATTCTGTACATCTCAGTCGCTCATAAACTATCTTTGCCTGTTTTCTATATTTGATGCATTTTGTCTATTTTGCATGAATCTTGCCCTCTGTCACCATGCTGGCTAGGTGGGGGGCTCTAAGCTGTTGTGTGCATGTCTTGCACCCCACACAATGCCACCTCCAATTTCCTGATTCTTGCACTGGTGGTCGGGCCCCTACTAGGGCTGACAGTGGTGCAACTGTTGACCCTGTCACGTTCTGGACTTGTTTGCAATTTGAAGTTCCTTCTTCTGCTGTACCACAGCAGTATCAGATGTTTGGGACAGTGGGGGTTATTATGGATTCTATGACATTGGTGCAACCTCAGGACTTAAAAATGACTTGCGGAGCTCCGGTGATACTGTGGGGCCCCTCCTTTCTGCGGGCTCTTGGGGGGGGGGGAGCATGCTGTGTGCGGGGGAGACCCTTCTTTTCTAGCGTTTTGTACATGTCTGTTTGCTGCTCTTGAAAGGTCTCGTGCGGTAACATCAAACGTTTGTAACTCAATTTCTTGTGTCTGTCAAAGTATCTGACCAACTAATTATATCCTCCTCTAGGCCAGTGGTTCTACAAAACATGCCAAGTACTACCTGTACCAGAACTCCAGCATTTTCATGTTCAAACACAAATATGTCAACAAGATCGAGTGGTTTCAATTAACTCAAATGGATTCAGGCAGAAAAAAAACACATTTTGTACTATTTTCTTAGGAGATTTGAGTAGTATTAATCTAGTCTTTTAAATCATTACTTTGCAGAACATGAACGCACACTGATGTGAAGCTTAAAGGCCAGCTTTGCATAATATAGAAATAGATATATATTTGTGTGTATGACTACTTATACCAGACGCAAACTGATTATCAGGACACAGACAGGTTTTTACTCTTTGTCAATGCTATTCTCGTTCACATTTTACACATCTCAGATATTCTGGAGGTATGTATCTGGTTGGGGCAAATGTCACCTTTGGCAGTGTGACCTTTTTATTTATGCACTGCAATGTTATGCTGACGGCTCAGGTCTTTGCTTCAGAAAAGGCACTTATTACCACATTAATAATGAAAGAGTACATAAAATATGAATACATGTTTAATTTGCATATTGATACAAAGGTGCGTTAATTATTAATTCTCTGTTCTGGAGTTTCTGTTCAACCAATATGCACCCACCCAATATGATGGTAAGTTATCAATTTGATGCAGGTACGTAAGTTGGTTTCATTGTGAGATGCAAATAGATCATTAATTTAATGCCTGTAGTGAAAGTGAAAATAAATTGTCAGAGAGAAGTTTTATTACACTCCCATGGTTATAATAAAAAATAAAAAAACAAACACAAAAAAATGTATTTTACACTGCCAGAAATTTTTTTTGGGTTCCTAGCAAAACCATCAATCAGGCTTTCCTCTAGAAATATACATAGATAGATACATATAAACACTCTCTCTCTCTGACTCTCTCTTCCATGCAAACATAGATCAACACTGACAGACACACATATACACTGATCATCCAGAACATTACGACCACTGGCACGTAAAGTGAATATTATTGACTATGTCGTTGCAATGGCACCTGTTACGGGGTGAGATTTATTAGGCAGCAAGTGAACAGTCAGTTCTTGAATTATATGTGTTGGAAGCAGGAAAAATGGGCAAGTGAAAAGATCTTAGTGACTTTGACAAGACCAAAACTGATGGCTAGACACCTGGGTCAGTGGATCTCCAGAATGGCAAATCTTGTGTGGTGTTCCCGGTATATCTACCAAAAGTGCTGCAACGAAGGACAACCGGTGAACCAGCGTTGAGGCCATGGGCTCCAAATTCATATTGATGTAGGGGAAGCGAAGGCTAGCCAGTCTAGTCCGATCACACAGAAGTGCTACTATAGATCAAATTGCTAAAAAGCTTGCTAGCTATGATAGAAAGGTGTGAGAACACACAATGCATCGCAGTTTGCTACTTATTGGGCTGCTTAGCTGCAGATCAGTCAGAGTGCACAAGATGACCCCTGTCCACCGCCAAAAGCATCTTCAATGGGGGGGTGAGCATCAGAACTGGACCATGAGGCAGTGGAAGAAGATTGCCTGGGCTGGTTAATCATGTTTTCTTTTAGATCAGGTATGTGTGCATCATTTTCCTGGTGATGCAGGATCCAGGCAGCAGCATGCACTATGAGACGAAAGCAGGCTAGTGGAGGCTGTGTAATGTTCTGCTCTGAAATCTTGGGTACTGGCTTTCATTATGATGTTACCACCTACCTAGAGATTGTTGCAGACCACGTACAGCCCTTCATGGCAATGGTGTTCCCTAATGGCTGTGGCCTCTTACAGCAGGATAAAGCACACTGCAAAAAATGTTCAGGAATGGTTTGAGGAACACGACAGAGTCTCCAATCATTTAAGTTGTTTTGCCAGCACGAGGGGCACCTCTACCATATTTAATGTTGCGGCTGATCAGTGTATACTGTCATATTATTCAGCACTGCTTATGACATACTGCTTATAGAATTTCTGTTCCACACAAGATTCACAGTTCTAGTCTATTACATTCATTACTTTGTCTAATATAGAAATGCCTATATTTGCCTATTACCTGTGTGTGGGGGAACCACAGGTGTCCAAGCAACAGGGTATTAAGGCAAAATTGTGATTCTTTTTTACTAAACAATGAATTATTGTGAAATGAAAACCAGAATTTAGGCTAAACTATCCCTATGCTACCAGCAGCAAACTATTGAGGTTAAAATATACCTCAGATGTTACACCTATAGATGTTTGGGTATTGTTGAAAACTCAAGGATTGTAAATGTAGTCTTATAAGGGTATTTGCTTAAAGGAGAACTGTCACCTCAAAACTATTTTCTAATATAATAATCCTTTCAAGTTGTGAAAGGAAATTGATTTGTTTTTCAATGAAGTATATGTAAAAATAAAATGAGAAACACTCCTCCTTACCTTTAGTATGTGACAGGATCCTTCCACCATATATGTGAACCTTGGGTCTGACAGTAGTTTAACATCAACAGTTAGTCTCTATGGTTTTCCCTGCTGATGTGCGGGGAGTGAAGCAGGGAAGACCAGGGAGACTAACTTTAGGCTCCAAACACTGCCTGATCAAAAGTAGTTGAACTGGACCATTGTCGAAAGAATGTTTCCAAATTACCTAATTTGACCTTTCACAAAACAATTCTGAATTTAGTGAATAACCCTGCATCTATTATGATAGCTTTTTACATTATTAATTTAGGTTTTGAATTTACCCCAATTTACTTTGTGCAAATCTTGTAGGTTATTGCAATATATAAACTTTCTTTATCACATTATCCTGTTTAGTGTAATTTACGTAATTTGTGCTTAACATGTTACAGACTTCCGGTTTTATTCACTATATAGTGAGTTAGGAATATAAATTCCCCCAATTTAGGCCACAACCAATACAATAGTTTTTATGTATTTTTGTTATTTTATCTAGTTTTTCAAAATGGATGTTTTGTTCATATTTTGCAAAAGTAGTTTCAATTCACTATTTCATGCATAAACCCTATTGTCCATGGAATTGAAAAGTCACTACTGGGTCACAAAAAACCATAAAAGTGCACTAAAAAAACAAAACAAATCAGATGTACAGAAAACCTACATACCGCTATTAAATAGAGAACTAATGGCATGACCTGCAAGCAATGACACCACTCGTTGAGGTAAGTGGACTAAAATGGAATGGGCACGCCATGTATCCTTAAAGGATAGAAGTGCTTGGTGAACATGTGCCAACAAGCAATATTCTGTCGAAATGCCGATCTTAACGAAGCACATCTAGATAATTCCTCACTCTCTGTAGATGTGACAAAAGCAAAAGCTCCAATTACTTGACCTGCACTAATTAGTTGTGGTCTGCTTGCTTCATATAAGCAGAAATACATGGCCAGGATATGTTCACATTGTTGCAGTTGATTAATTCTGTAAACTATAGCATAATACAGAATGCCTATGAATTAGATTATGGCAGTCAACAAGACTGCTTCATTATGTCATTCTACATCTTTATCGGAAAAACAAAACACCAGATTTTCTTCCCTATGACAGTGGTTTCAGCTCCTCTCTATAAGAAGTCATTATGGAGGGCAGCTATATAGTAACGGTATTAATCCAGCCTTTCAACAGTCATATTATGGCAGTGTAAATCATAATGGAAAAAAAAGCCAGGATTGGCTCCATCCACCCTGATTGTGTTGCTCAATATGCATTGACCACCTTTACTCCATATTTTGCCAGTAGAATATGGGTCTCGTCGACTGCTCATGGAAATCATTTACTAAATAAAAATGTACACCCACCACAAAAAATAAATAAACAAAAAACACTAAAAAGGAATCTACTTTGTGCAATGGTTGGATTAAACATTACATGTTTCACGTTAATGTAGTGGATATACATTGCCTCAATTAAAGGAACAGTTTAGGCTCCATAACAACTAAATCAAAATGAAGAGTTTCACCTCAAAATCTGTATTACAGCACCAGATCTCTTCCTCCTCTCTCTTTGTTTGCTGAAAAACTTTAAAAAGGAAGATTATGGCTGGCCTTGGTAGGGGTGCCACAGATTGACTGAGAGCATCAGCTGACCGCTCTCAGTCAATCAACGGCAATGCTGCAGCAATAATCTTCCGTTTTGGAGCTTTTCAGCAAACTGAATGACAGGGATCAGAGAAACTTGGTGCCGGACGTTTGTGAACAGTTTAACCTCTAATGGTAAGCCAGTGCCAGGAACCCTTGTTATGGTTCCCAGAGTGGTCCTTTCATATGATTGGCTAGGCCAGTCCAGCTAATCACATTGCTTTATTCATTCCCTATTGTAGTAAATGACTGGTAAATAACCCAACCAGTCACACTAACACACAAAGATAACAAATACATTTCTAAAGTTAAAGTCCAACCTCTCATGTATCCCAGTTTTGGAATGCTGTATTGTTTGTTTTTAAGCAGCATGTAGTATTTGAGATGATTGTTTTTAGTTTTTAATAAATGACAATTTTACGCTTAGAAAGTAGATCTGGCCATCGTAGTGTGCAACCTGTGCAAACATGTACCAGCACACCACTCTGCCAGATTGAGGAGAGTCAGTTAAAATTGGATAGGTTCCTATTCAGAGCTCATTAGACCCAATTCACAGATGGCTTAACACATTTTGGATGATAGTAAATTTTTTGTACTACCTCCAAAATGATACCTCTGAAATGACCCAAGTAATTTCTCCAAATTTACTGTAATGAATTCAGAGCTCAGTAAATAATCCCCAGTGAGTCTGGTACAATAAAGGGTTTATTCACTTAGGAGATATATGAGAAATTTAAAATAATTAAACTGCAAAATTCATGTCTGCTTGGCTCAGCTGTGACAATGGCCAAATTGGAGTAGTTTTTCAAGTCAACATTTAGTGAATAGACCCTGAACTCTACAGAAGAACTTTGGATTAATTTCCCAATGGAAGCATTATGTACTTTCTCACAGGGCTATTTTAAACTATATTTTGACAGTCGGTATAGGCAACCTTTGGCACTCCAGATGTTGTGGACTACATCCCCCATAATGCTCTTACACCTATAATGCTGGCAAAGCATCATGGGAGGTGTAGTCCAAAACATCTGGAGTGCCGAAGGTTGCCTATGCCTAGTCTAAGAGCTACGTAACTCTAGAGACTGTGTGTAAATTGTAATTCTTTTGTTGCTTGTCATTCTCTCTCATTTTTGTACGCTTGCCATACATAAGGACATAAAAAAGCAATACGCTGCATCCTGGACAGCGCCCAATGCAGCATTGCAGTCTGAATTTTACCTTATTATAGCAAGATAAAGCTGATCAATCTTCGACTTTGTGCTCTCGGTTACTTTTGACAAGTGGCACGGTTCCCACAGGGCGTCAAGCAGTAGTGTTAGTAATGTTGCTTTCTACCACACATTGGGCATTGTAACTAAAGGCAAGACATGGTTTTTAGTTAGACCTATTATCTCAGGGTGATGTCTCCTGGGATTTCTACTGAAAGCTTATTGTTTAAGTAATTTTGTGTGATTTCTAATCCTTTTACCACATATCTAGAAAATTACCTCTTTTCTAGGATTTTTATTTTTATCACAATGTACTTTCCTACTGCACTGTGGGTTGTTTTTCTTTCTGCTTTGATGAGTTCCCCACAATGTTATGGAACACGAGAACATCACGACTCAAAGGAACAAATGTAGCTAAAAGCTGAGATTCTGTAATAACACTTACGCTCCCACTTGGCTGCCTCACAGTGCGCCACATGAGCACCTCACAGGTGCCACTAAATGGCTCCCCGATTCTTTTAGTTGCCTGGAAACCTCTTTTTGTAATGACTGGGGATAGAATTATTCTCATTACACTGATTATATTATATTGATTTGTCCAAATTTTGGGCCACTTGTGGGTTATCTGAAATCCTGAACTCAAAAATGCTATATGGACAATTCACAAAAAAAAAAAAAAACCCACGGAATGCGCAATGCTCCTGGGGCAGGAAAATAAATACACACACTTGCATCATCAACATATATATCTTCATCACAAACCTTATGCAAAATCCATCTACAGTCACATACTGACACATTACACAAATAAGAAAGCATAGAGAAGGCTTAACAGTGATTTGACAGGACCAAAAGAGCTGCACCAAGTCTATGCAGTCTACTTTTCCTTATATACCTGGTGCGAATATTTTGGATTGAAAATGAGGAAGTGAAATTTCCTCATTATGTTAGCCTAAGCAGAAGAGATGGCCTTTGGATACCTGGGAAACCCTGGATTTTGCAAAGCCCTTATGCACTGCAGGGGTTAGAATCTATCACAATATACAACACAACCACATAAATATAACTAATGAAAAAACACACCGGCACAGATATGTGCAGGAAAAGGCCATGGTCTTTTTATTTAGTTTACAAACACACTGTAACAATAACTTTACGCAATTTCAAAACAACATAACGTGCTACCAAAAATCTCCGGTCTTTAGAAATCAACCAGAGACATATCAATAACCAATACCATATAATCATCCCGTCTCCCCCTTTTGAATAGGCAAATGACCATAACCCCAATAAAAGACCACGACAAAATAATAAATGGGTAGAAAGGGCAGGGCAGCAGCTGAGTGATTTAGACTTTTTTTAATAATCAAGTTTTTATATATAGATTAAAAAAGTAGTGTGGGGCATACAAGTCCCAAATACTGAGGATTTAAACTTGATGGTGCCCACTTAACTGTTTGATTCCGTTGGCGCCAAGACGCTCCCATAGAATGGCTTACAAACCAGACTTGCCACAGAAAATTGTCCTCACGGACAAGCTCTCCAATCAGAGCGCTGACTGTGCAGGTACTAAAAATAACTGCTTGCAAAGCACGGCGCCAAATTAACCCTCTCAACCCTGCAGCGCACATGTTTAATTGTTCATGTATTGTTTGATTGAAATGTCACCTTTAAAAGTTTCATGGGAGTTTATCATTATATACTTTACAGAAAAGAATTTAGAACTTTTTAAAAAAAAGAACAGTGATGGACGGCTAATTGAAAGATATATTTATTTGTGGTCAGTGCAATATTTGCTGTGATGGTGAGAAAACACGATACTTATATATAACAAAAGATAGTGACACCAGTTGGTTGTGGTGTGCCTGAACCGACAAGGCAGTAGGCCTGTAATAAAGAGGGCAAAAGGAAGTGTACCATACAAGATTTTATTTATACTACACAACAACAATTATTTGGACAAGTCATGAAAAGCCTGTATAAGGTGTAGACAGAAGGTTTCCAGCGTCCCATTGTTTTGATTATGTGAGCTGGAATAGGGGTGGAGGAAGCAGATGATGCTGCCCATATGCGGAAGGAATGGCCCGAGTAATGAATAGCGTTTAGGCCCAGTCTGGAAAAGAGCAAACGGACATAGTGCATGAATTTGGCAGTAGTAACCGTGGAACCATGTAGTTCTAATAGTGGTTGATGTGGTTGTTTTTGAAAGGTATCAAAGTATGCATCCATCCTTCCCCAATTTTGGAAACAAAAGATAACCCTCCCCCTTAAAGCCTGGTTTGACCAGATGGAGGAGCTCCGATCTATAGAGGAGCTGAACATGGCAGCCTCAGCAACTCCCACAAAATACACAGACATATGGACACACTGGATCCTAGAGACGGCAAAGGTAGAATTCCAACAGAGACTCCGACTGAACAACTAGATGATAGATACTGAACACCCACTACCACTCCCCTCCCTCCCCCCCGCACCACTACCCGCCCCCAACATCCCCAAGGTTACTGCCTAAACATAGCAACCAATAGGTAACAACAGAGACCAGGAAATCACACCACACTGACGAATTATAGGGAAAAACCGAAACACCCGAAACAGATAACAGAGCCAGGGAAGTCAAGAGAAATGAGACCCGATTGCCATAGAACGCCCAAAAAAGGGACCGATTAGCCCCACTATACCCTAGCCAGACAGACAGGGCTCTACCTCACCAGACCACCGAGGCGAGATCCCTGGAAGCAGTGGTGTATCCTGGTTTTGTGCTGCCCTAGGCAGGACAAAACTCAGGCACCCCCCTCCCCCCGCGCCACCCCCACCCAACCCTTCTCCCCACCTTCTAAATACATACACACACCAACAGTCAGATACACACACACAGTCAGACACACACACACACACAGTCAGACACACACACAGTCAGACACAGTCAGACACACACACAGTCAGACACAAACACACACAGTCAGACACACACACACAGACACACACACAGTCAGACACACACAGTCAGACACACACACACACAGTCAGACACACACACACAGTCAGACACAAACACACACAGTCACACACTCATACAGTCACACACATTAACACCTTTTTTTTTTTTTTTAAACCCGCGCGAGGGAGCTGAGCAGACCGCTCAGAGGAAGAGCTCCCTCGACAGCCGCCCGCCCAGCAGCCAGCGCCGCCCAGCCCGCCCAGCCCGCCCAGCATGTCAGTTAGCCGCGAGGCAAACTAGGCATTTGCCCTGGGCATTTGGGGGCTGTGTTTTTTGCCGCCCCCTGAAAAATGCCGCCCAAGGCAAATGCCTTGTTTGCCTCGTGGCTAAAACGCCCCTGCCTGGAAGGGAAACTGTAGACAGAGACCCAGACCAAAGGTCGTAATACAATTGACGTACCTGGTTTCAGGGAATGATAAATGTTACATAGCACTCGTGCCCACTACACTGGCAGGAAATTCAGTTAACATGGGAAACATGTAGCCTATAGCCATGCTATGTGTTTGGGATAGAATAAACTACAAAACTATTAATCTATTTATGTACCAAGTATCTTCCACCACCTTCATTTCAAATCTCCCTTTTATTTATCTCATGTGTATCCTTCTTAATCTCAGATTTCAACACTTTCATCTCATGTTTCTTTCACCTATATTTCTAATCCTGCTCATATATAACACCCAGCCAATCTTTGCAGATCATCCCATATGTCTTTATCTCTGATTTATCTATGGCCATCTAATCTCTCAATCTCTTTCACATAAATAATTTACAATCAACACACAATACATTGAAGAATACACACAACATACAAATGTCATCAACACCAGACGTTTTATTTTCTTACAAACACATTCACCATATAAACATCATGCCCTGCAGGCTAATGAGGTGATACAGAGAGCTGTAGCTCCTGGACAGCGAGCCCCATATAGCAACTGGAAGTATATTCATTATATCCTACTTTCGTCAGAAACAGCCTACTGTACTTACTTCCCTCACAGCTGTTTGTATAAAGAAACATTTCACACAAGAGGTGAGAGTATGACATTTGATGTATCCATCATGTGGCCCAATACTCTACACTGGGAGAAAGCAGCCTATGCCAAGTTAGTAGCATGGAGTGTTGGGAATTCACTGTGAATTCTAAGGGAATGTAAAGGGTTACTCCAAGCAGCATTAAAGGGATACTATAGTCACCAGAACAACTACAGCTTATTGTATTTGTTCTGGCGAGTAGAATCATTAACTTCAGGCTTTTTGCAGTAAACACTGTGTTTTCAGAGAAAATGCAGTGTTTTCATTACAGCCTAAGAATACATTCACTGGCCACTCCTCAGATGGCTGCTAGAGGTGCTTCCTGGGGCAGTGCTGCACAGTGAGCAGCAGTCACATTCAGTGTCTCCACCCTCTGCATGGAGACACTGAACTTTCCTCATAGAGAGGAGCTGCTGATTGGCCAGGGTTGTGTTTGGCTTTTGCTGGTTCTGCCCATGATCTGCCTCCTTGACAATCTCAGCCAATCCAATGCTTTCCTATGGGAGGCTGCACTAAAAGTATGATTTTACTATATTTAGGGGGTTAAGGCAGGGCCAGAGGGGCCAGATTGTGTGTTTTTAACATTATAGGGTCAGGAATACATGTTTGCTTTCCTGACCCTATAATGTTCCTTAAAGCACTACAGCAGACTTTCCATGGTTAGACTTGCCACCAAGGACCAAGGGTTGGCATGGCTGTTAGGGAGATCAAAGAGTAAAACGCAAAGGGGTTCAACTCTTTATGTGCAGTGCTTCATAGCAAAACACTGCACATACAGATTCCAGCCACCATGACCACTTTAAATCACTTGGGTGGTCATGGTGGTTGGAGTAAAACTTTACATTTTAGACCAAGATGACCAAACTGAATATAGTCTAGAATTTTTACAGTCTGACTATTTGGCCTCACATATTAAAAATGTATTTTTTACCTTTGTGGCAACTATTAATATACCCTTCCAGTGAGAGTAAATAATTTCTCATAGATTTCTTGTGCTAAGCATTGATAGGGCTATTCACTACATTGAGAATTGTGGGGAATTCAAAATGTATTTAAAGTGAATTTCAAATTTAAGGCCAAAGTAACTAATTTGAAAGCACAGCTCACCTGGACATGTTTTCAGTTTTTGCATTTTACATATAATGATTTTGCATTTTACATATAATTATTTCTGAATTCCCCACAATTCTGAGTTTAGTGAACCACCCTGTAAGTTCTTATATCAGTTTGTTTTAATGGTCATTGCTACACGGAGCTTAGATCACAAAACAGTGAACCGGACTGTGAGTAGGTTGGCTATGGCTGCCAATAGCTTACTTAGAAGCTTCACTCGTTCTATGTGATGAGTGAAACTGTGGCTAGGTTATAAACTGCATATGCCAAAAACCTCTGCTCGACAAGGTAAAAGTATACCCACAAACCACAATAACAACACGAGACTCATGCCTCCTTGCAAAAGTTTTTTTCATGGTGAGTTTATAGTGGTAGTGACATCTTGATGCACAAATGACTATACATGAGTAGTCCTCCATATTACAAAATGGGGTCTCATAACTGAACCTTTTATTGGCTTCAGTCTGCTCATTGGTTGACAGTTGTTTATTTTTTATTCAACAATTCAACTATTAATGAATCATGAGAATATATTGAATTTGTCAGCTGATGTCAATAGTGTAGACTTTGCCATGTTAAATGCTAAGCTTATGGAGTCATACAGGTCTGACTGATTTCAGGAAGGACTTGAACTTCATGGATTTCCTGCCAAGTTCTAATGCAGTTCAGTTAAATAAACAGAATCTGCATTAAAGTAAACAGAGACTATTTTAATGAATGTTCTGGGTTAGTTTTTCTTTTTCACAAATCAGTCACCAGTAAATTTGGCAGGTGATATTAACCTCAGACAAATTTTACATTTAGGGCTTAGTCAATAGAGATGTTTGCTTACACCACCACTCCAAGCATTAATATTAATTGTTTTAATTAAATTAGTTATTATTATTTTTCTAGACAGGCACACTAGTCATAGAAGCTTTTGTTACCCTGGAGTGCAAGTTATTGTGACATATATATATATATATATGCATAAAAATCTGTTAAGTAAGCAAAATTTTGCCTACGAAATCTCTGACCAGACATGAAATAGTCAGTTTTAGTGATGAAAAATATATACTTTTATGTGTATTTGCCTACAGTACATCATATCAAAAAGAGGTATTTTTTTCCCACCATAGTCTTTACGAAATCTGTCTTAAACCAAGAGATATATCATATCAATAACAATTTTCCTGGCTAGCAATGACAGCTTCATTATGGATTGGCCTTGCCTCGCTCTGCTGTTATGACAGGAATTTATTAAAATTTTTAAAGCTTGTAATAAGTGGGAGGGGGGGGGGGGTGTGATTAACAGCCAAACTGTATGCCAATGAAGTGTTATTGTGTTCTAATACGGGATTCAAGCCCCCATTCTACCCTTAGGCAATAATGGAGTCCTCTGTGAAGCACATGGCCTTTCACCAGGCAAAATCAGTTAGGTTGTTGATAAACTCCTCCTCCATTCCCTTCCAATGCAACCCCCCTTCCCCCAGGAGGCACTCTGGTTCTGTTACATCCTAAGGGATTGACTAAGGGAGGTGTGTCCAGCAGAAAGAGGGGCTAACCTGTTTAAAGCCCTGTGAATAGCACATTGTCTTTCTCTTTGAATTACCTCTCTCCACCTTCTCTCTCCCCACTGTACACACCCTCTCTCTCTTACTCTCAGCTGACGATCAATGGAGTGGTAACTGTATCACGTGTCTATGCCTGTTTTACGATGTTAATTTAGCCTACTTTCCATTCAGTCAATGATTAGTTTTAGTAGCAACATATACTAGCCTATTTCAAATGTATATGTATTGTTTAATTGTTTGATTAGCCTCTATTAATAAATATTATTGAATTGCCGAAAGCAAGGAGTGTGGACTCTGACTTTACACTCGGTTTTTAAGTTATTATTTTAAGTTATTATTTTTAGTTATTAATGTTATTCATTCCAAGTTTATTCCAACTTGCGAGTTAAACATTTATTACAAAGATATATGAATATATTTGGAAACTTTGGGGCCTGGATGCCCATACATAAGCTGCTTTTGAACTGCTTAAAGAGATCCAGGGTTATGGTTCGACTCTAAAGACAATCTTTTTGTTGTTGATTTCTTCAGCCAAAAGAGTTTCTGAAAGATGTTCTCTGAATATGTTCTTAGTGAAGAGGATCTACCAAACAGTCTTCTTCCAATTAGACTTATAACAATATGGTGTTATTGTGTGCCTTTCTACAAAGTTCCTTCCTAAAGTAAACTCAGAATTCCATATCTAAAATTTCATATCTAACATTCCATATCCTTCAACATGCGTTGCAATTTTGAGCACCAGTAGAAAAAGTGGAAAGGTAATTAGTTATGAGGAAAGACTAGAATTGTTTTTATTATTTTCTTTAGAAAAAAGGCATCTCAGAGAGGATATAATAGCACTATACAAACATATATAGGACCAGTACCATCCACTATGTGCTAACCTGTTCATTATCAGGAATATACAGATGACAAAAGGTCACGCGCTGAGAGCAGAAGAAAAGCATTTTCGCTTTCAGTAGAGGAAAGGGTTCTGTACAGTAAGTAAAATAAAGATGTTGAATTCTCTGCTTAAAGAGATTAATAAGATTCTATAGATACATTTAAAAGAGGCTTGGATGTTTTTCTGCATAAACAGAATATTTAAATATATAATTGATATCTATGAAAACAGGTTGTTGATCCAAAGAGAAATCTGATTGCCATTATGGAGTCAAGAATGAGTTTTACCCCTTTTTTTCTTTCCATAATTGGAAACGGCTATAATTGGGGTGGGGAAGGGGGGTTGCCTTCTTCTGGACCAACTGCATAATATAATGGACTTCACTTAACTCAATGAATTTAATGGACACTTTTTTTTTTTTCAACCTAGTCAACCGAATAACAAAATATTCCTCTTCTTCCTCTCCAGTGGGTGAGAAGTTCATATTTCTCTCCAGATGAAGGAAAAGTAAAGATGATATTAAAGGATACAAACTGGATGTTGGTAACAATCTAGCCTCTAAATTTGTCATAACTGTCCTTCTAGCTGTAGCTTCTGCTAATAAATAGTGTTTACAGGGAGTTTGTGGCTTTCTTGGGTATTACACATATGTGATACTGCAATGGTTAGTGAATAAAAGATAATATATTTTTTATACTTACCATAATTTTCTTTTCCTGACTATTTTCCATGGCCAAATTATATTCTCTCCCCCAAAAAATGGACTTTCCAAAGAGACTGGGTAATCAATAACCCTACATAGTATTAAATAATTCCTGTCCTGACTGTTGAGAGACAGGTTAAATCCACAGGTGACACTGCAATATAAAATACCCATGATAAGAAAACAACATTAAGAACGAAAACTATTTTCTACTCTGGTGCTGTGTCAAAAAAGAATTGCTAGCTGTATGTAATGAAATGTAACTTATGATTGGTACATAAATTGGCATGGATAGAGTGGGGGTAAATTAGTCATATCATTAGAATTGATGGTTATAGAGCAATGCAAAGCAAAGGAACCCCAGCTTTAATTCATTTTATCTGAAACTTTAATATCCATGACACAAATTTCAAAAGGAACAAAGTTCAAGTTTAAGTAAGGCTGGTGCTGCAGTTGCACAACGGATGCTACGATTGTTTGTCAAGGTCACCTGCCAGTTGAGGGAACAGACTAAGCTGCATTTACTTTGTTGTTATATAAACTATATGGTGTAGATATACTATTATAAATGGATGTGTGTTTGTCTGTGTGAAAATAAATAGCCTTCTAAAAGTATTCATGGCTGATTCTTTGCTATCATTAAATGAAAAACAGCACAGCGCGGTTTTGTTTTGAAGATATTTTAATACACTGATGCCCAATATGTTGTGTCAAGATGACATTAGCTTTATATTGTGTCTCCTACAAGTTTAGTAGATCTGCCCCCACCTGCTGCACGGTTGATGGAGGCATAGGAAGGGGAAATACATCCCTTATATCAATATGGTGCTGGCCAACTGCCACATATTTAACACTCTCGCCGCCAAGTGTTTTTAACTATTTGCCTGCTGGCTACTAGTGCTTAATATTATCATTTGCTTGCATGAAAGTCAGTTAACGATAGTTTGAGAATGTTCATCCCACTGGATGCATTTGGCCCCTATTCAGTGTAAAATCGGTGCTTTGTGAATTTTTCAAACCTATACTTTGTATAGGATTTGGATGGGATAGCACCGATTTTAATCTGCTCACTGAATGCATCCGGGCAATTGCTGCAGATTCGCTCAGCCAGACTGAATTCCAACCATATTTAGCCTTAGTAAATATAATTTGGTAATTTTCACTGGATTATGTCCATTATAGCAAAATCTGGTGTTTAGTGAATAACCCTGTAATTATAAAATGATCAGTAAAATTATCATTTTTTTTATATGTATCTTCTAAAAATGGTTATCCAATGGATAAAAACAAATATGTGTTATTTGTGATTTCATCAATATGAGTTTCTTATAGACACATAGGGTACAATGTCAGTGCATTTCAAGGAGTCTGCTGCCCATGTTTAGCACAAAAAAATATTATACACTATTATTAGATTAAATGTCCATTTATAATTGTATTTCTGCCAGCTGTGATAAGATGTGAATGCAAGAGGGTCAGTAAGGTTTTGGCACAGTTCATATTTTCTCTGCATTTCCATATTTTCTGACATCCACAGTCACATGTTTGACCTGCTAGACTCCTGATAAAATGATCTAAAAGGATTTAAAAAAAAATATTTGCACTGTGTGTACTACAGGTACAACCTCCCAAAATAAAAGGCAGAATGAAATAATATGTCAGAAAGCATTTTAATAAACAAGAAAAATAGGAAATGAAAGTGTGTGGGTTTAGAGGGTAGAACATTGAGAGGTAATGTGCGATAATACACATGTACTGAACAGGTTGTAAAACCTACTGGGGATGTCATGGCAGACATTTTGCCATAAAGCCCTGTTCATTGTTTTTATTCATTCAAATGACAGAGACTGTTTGGGGGCTTTCTTATTTAGGTGGGCAAAAAAACCCCATAACAAACCCAATTCACATTACAGGGAATACAGGTTACTGTAAGTACAGTTGCCTGAATAAACCAGGAATCAGTACTATGTAGGGCAGTGTAGGTTACCATTACAGCCTGTACAAGAGCTTTGCATTGGGCCCATAACTTATATAATCCCTGATGCTAAAATGCAGTCAGCACTTTTAAACTGCATATAAGTGCACAAGCACCGACTGGATTTTCCATCACAGCTTTCATGCATCTTAGCATGCTCTCCCCCAGTCTTTCTCATTACAGTTGGGTGACTTTATTCCACTCCTGGAGCAAAAAGTCAACCAGCTCAGCTTTGTTTGTTAGCTTATGACGATCCATTTTCCTCTTAATCACATTCCAGAGGTTTTCAATTGAGTTCATTTCTGAAGATTGGCCTGACCATGACATGGTCTTGATCTGGTGGTCCTCCATTCACAACTTGATCAACCTGGCTGTGTGGAGGAAACATTGTCATGGCTTTATTCATGCGTCACAAAGATGCATCCGACCAATTAGTCTTGCTGAAGCACCCGCAGATCATAACCGATCCTCCACCAAATTGTGAGTAGGCTCACCAGGTCTCTGTCTAACATTTTGGCAAAACTGTAAATTGGATTAACCTTACTCCAGTCATCTACAGTTCAATCCTTATGGTCTTTTGCAAACCTCAGCATGGCTCCTCTTTGCTTCTCCTTGATGAGGGCTTTTTTTCTAGCTTTGCATGACTTCAGCACTGCCCCAAAGAGCATGTTTCAACTGTCCTCACTGTGCACGTCACCCCAGCTGCCTTATGCCATTATATTGATAGGTTACTCAATGTCACCCTTGAGTGATATTCAAATGAGTTAGACTGATCAGTAGAGAGTCATTTTCACCCTATGCTGGTCTGTAGCTTTGTTGTCCCCAATGTTTGCTGCTTGACCTTGTTCTTGAACCTCCATGTTTGAAATTGTAAGGATGAAATGAACCGGATGCCCCTGCCAGTAAAACCAGAACCCTTCTTTCCCTCATTCAAAACTTTTATTTTTGGCAAGGTCAATAGTTTGTAGAGGATTCAAATTACTTTTGAGGTATTACTAGCACTGTTTTTGCCATCCAGCTGGTTCTATAGCAATAATATAGTGCTGACCACTGCAGTGGATTTTATACTCTTCTTCACTAAATAAGATTTGGTTTGCGTGATCACCTAATTAATATATCATTAAAGGACCACTCTAGGCACCCAGACCACTTCAGCTTAATGAAGTGGTCTGGGTGCCAGGTCCAGCTAGGGTTAACCCATTTTTTCATAAACATAGCAGTTTCAGAGAAACTGCTATGTTTATGAATGGGTTAAGCCTTCCCCTATTTCCTCTAGCGGCTGTCTCATTGACAGCCGCTAGAGGCGCTTGCGTGCTTCTCACTGTGATTTTCACAGTGAGAGCACGCCAGCGTCCATAGGAAAGCATTATGAATGCTTTCCTATGTGACCGACTGAATGCGCGCGCAGCTCTTGCCGCGCGTGCGCATTCAGCCGACGGGGAGGAGAAGAGGAGGATCGGAGGAGGTGAGCTCCCCGCCCAGTGCTGGAAAAAGGTAAGTTTAACCCCTTTTCCCCCTTTCCAGAGCTGGGCGGGAGGGGGACCCTGAGGGTGGGGGCACCCTCAGGGCACTATAGTGCCAGGAAAATGAGTATGTTTTGCTGGCACTATAGTGGTCCTTTAAGTAGAATGAGATGTGCCTATGTTTTAATTAAAAGGACAATGGAATGGCTGGCTTACATGTAGAGATGCTGATTTAAGAAAGAAATCTTGTGGTTTCTTAATTTCTTAATTTTTTTCCATTGCTGTGTGTATATAATAGGACTTTGTTTACTTCTTATAAAGCTACTTCCAAAATGACTAATGGGATCTTTAATCACATAGCCACTGCAGACATAATATCTCTTTTTATTCAACCCCAGATATTCCTTTCCAGCACGAATACTTTAATAAGAAGGCAATCTGTTCATCTGTTTTAGCAGTAGAAGAGAAATTGAGCTAAGGTGCAAATATCTCCCTCAAAGTACACTGTCAAATTTTAAATGAATGTTTATTTTTAACCATTTAGTTTTCTTGTATTAGTTTAGAATATGGGTTCCATTTACAAGTTGATAAAAAACAAAAGAAATACAAATCCTCTAACTTGCCTATAAACCTGAGCCAGGACAGGCTCAGCACCCTTGATGATCTTGGTTCAGTAGAGTGATTCTCATAGAGATGTGTTGGGAAACTATGACACATGAATGTTAACCTTTGTTCTGCCAATCTGATCTGATGCTCCTCATTTTGAAGAAATAAATCCAGTGCTGATGACAGATATTGGTTTAAAGAAATGGCAATGTTTTACACTATAAAGGGTAAAGGGACAGCAGCTATACACAAAAACCACTTCATTAATATAGTCTTTGCTGTGTTGAGGGTCTTTTTAAGGCGGACCCTCACTAATTAGGATTTTCATTTTGTACTTCAAGTAAGGCAATGTTGCACATTTTCCCCAAAATTAGCCAACTACCAGTTTTTGCTACCTGTGAGTGTTTGACCAGGTGGTGATTTAAGCATCTTATAGATTAAAATATAATTGAAAATAATGTATGCAATGTAGGAATATACTTGAAGCATGTCACCCCGAAGTTCACGAATCATTTCTAAACCTTTCCTCATGGTTTATTAAGATGTCTCCAAAAGACATTATTTGCTCCAATGTCATTCTAAGCCTGTTACAGCCAACAAGGAAAATCCTCTTGGACTGTACAACAGCTGCAGGAAAAGTCAGGAGGTACAGAGAACATAAGCCTTGGAACCAAATCTTCAGAGTAAAGCCATTTGGAAACTGTTTAACTCCTGGAGAGAAAGATAGTGGCCAGAAGATAAAGTTTTAATGGGGCAGGAGTGTTCCTTTAACAGAAGTCCTTCAGTCTGGATCCTGAAAGACATATAATCTAACCAGAAAAGGTGTGATGAAAAGGACATACATATTCCAGTTTGGTTTAATGTAATGATACAGTGTAAGTAAAACAGACTGGGAGATCTATGTACCATGGAAATCTCTGGCGGGTTACGCAATCTCCTTTGCTTGAAGTGTAGGAAGTCCCCAAAAATCCTTTGTGGGGGGACGTAAAGGTGATAGTATACACTAAAGAGGGTTCAAAAGAGGGAATAAGAAACACAAGGGGGGGTTAAAAGAGGTAAGAAATTCAAAAGGGGGATTAAAAGACACAGTTGAAGATGCATTTTTGTGGGGAGGAGTGGGGGAAGACAAATTGCATCTTGACTTGTGTAGCCAACAATTCTTGCACCAGCCCTGGTTGTGGTACAGATGACAGTACAGAGGGCAGTGATGACCGCAATACTTAAGTCAGCGAGCATTAAGAGGTTCTATCTCACAGTCAGTCCTGTGACAGCCGAGAGTGACCTCAACGCTATCTCAGGCACAAGTCCAGAGGCTGGAAAGTCTGGACTGGATGGAACTGTGTCATGGCTCACCTTACAACCTGGAGGCTGTGTGGTAGTCGCCTCTTACATACTGTAGTGCATCAGCAGGAGACCCTCAACAAATTGTTACAGCTCCTCTGTTTTCACTCCGTTGCATAGCATTTAAGCAGGGCATTGGTTAATTGTTAAACATATTTGATATGTGTTTATTTTTATGTCTTTCAAGGCATTATTGCAAGCTTTCACACAGTCTTGATTACATCAGATGAAGTAGCACTACTGTGGACCACGCTGGTCACTGTGGTTTGTACAATTTCTGCAATACTCAATTATTCGGTTGTCAGCATTTAAAAATAACTAACAAACCCAAGCATATGTAGATGCCACCACAGTATTATATGGTTTACTGATGTTTCATATCTCTTCTTTCACAATGGTAGGACATGTATAAATTAGGACATGTATAAATGCATATTTAAAAATAAAAATTTACAAAAAATGAAAATGCCATAAAATTCTTACACAGAGATTAAGGCCACTAATAAGTCATACTGCTTAATCTTACATGCAAAACACAAAACAAACAAACAAGCAAGCTTTAAATCTACTTACCGTATATACTCGAGTATAAGTCGAGTTTTTCGGCACATTTTTTGTGCTGAAAAACCCCCACTCGACTTATACTCGAGTTAATGTATGTATTATGGCAATTTACATTGCCATAATACAGACCAGGACCGCCGGGCTCATTACAAGCCCGGCGGTCCTGTTGGGGGCTGACAGTGAGCGGTTACTTACCTTCCTGCAGCTCCTGTCAGCTCCCTTCTCCTCCGTGAAGCTCCTCTGTCAGCTCCCACTGTCAGCTCTAGAGACTTACAGTGGGAGCTGACAGAGGAGCTGCACGGAGGAGAAGGGAGCTGACAGGAGCTGCAGGAAGGTAAGTAACCGCTACACAGCCCATACACTGGACCACCAGGGAGTGAGAGCCCCCCCTCCCTGGCCAGCTAACAAGCAGGGAGGGGGGACGAAAATTAAATTAAATTTAAAAAAAATACAATAAAAAATATTAAAAAAAAAAACCTTAAAATATTAAAATAAAATAAAAAACTTAAAATATTAAAATAAAATAAAATTAAAAAACACTTAAAATAGTAAAATAAAAAATTTATAATAAAAATGCCCTCCTCCCACCCAGTTCACACACACTCTCATACAAACACACACTCTGCATTATATACACACACACTCATACAAACAATCTGCATTCTACACACACTCATACAAACACACACACACACTCTGCATTATATACACACATAGTGTGTGCGTATATAATGCAGAGTGTGTGTGTGTGTGTGTATAATGCATTGTTTGTATGAGTGTGTGTGTATAATGCAGAGTGTGTGTTTGTATGAGTGTGTGTGTATAGAATTCTAAAAATCACAGAATTTCATAGCCCCAAGTTTTACCCTCGACTTATCCACGAGGCATAGCATATTTCACAATTGTTGGTCACAAAACTGCCCTTGACTTATACATGAGATCGACTTATACACAAGTATATATGGTAAGATCACCTGTTTTGGCAAATAAATATTAGTTACACCAGGTTATGGCCGCAGCAGGTTAAGCCCATGACTTTGCCAAATATTGTTACATAAACATGCTAACTATATAACTTACTGCATAAAAACTGCTTCTGGAACCTGACTAGTGTTACAGTTCTGGTTCACAGGTTAAGAAGCAAGAAGGTTTTTAACCATAATAAATAAAATTAATTTAGAATTCCAGAACAGCTGTACAGCATGTATTCAGGAAACGAAGTGTAACAAAAGTGTTTACAAATGACAAGTATCCACACCATTTTCCATTCAGTTTAATTAAAATATACATCTTTACTAATTCATAATTTTATTATCTCAAATGCATTATTGTTCCACCAGCATCTGAAGGTTTAAATTAGTTGGCATGTGCATTTTTTTTTTTTTTAACACTGGTAAGGTGACATATATGCCATCGGGCATTTGCTATTGATCCATCATATACATTGCTACAGCAGGTACAGATCCTCAGTCATTGACTTCGAAATATTGTTTGTCTGTGGCATTGAAATGTTGAAAGGTAACTTGTCTTTGACAACCCAAGTTATTACAAAGGTGAGGATCCCTTTAGTGCTGGGTGAAGGACACTATTCTGCATAGAACAGCTGAAAACAATGTCTTGGAAGAGTCACGTATGTGACAGTGTGCAGAATACTTGTTTCTCTGTAAAGATAAAGATGTATGTTGATTTTGTTTTGGAGGTAGTAGGACTCCTGCATCTTCGGCTAACCAGGAAGGCAGAGGCTGAACTAAGCTTTGATCACATACTATATTAAAACTCTTTATTAATAAAAAATAAAATTAGTGGCAGTGTTATGCATTCTCCCTATGGCAGGAGTGAGGCAGTAGGGAGTGCATTAAATGATTTGTGGGAGGCCAGCTCCTGTCAGTTCATACAGCCCATGTAGTAGTAATTCCCATCTTGTACACAGTTTTTGTGATCATCAATTACTGGACTCACTCTTTTAAAATGCAACTGGATGGCTTTGTAGAGGAAGTCCATGTCTTTTAAACCCATTTTCTACAGCTCCCCTGTCGGGGGATGGAAGACAGATGCCCAGCTGTTATTTTGGGGTTTTCAGTCTGATGAAGATCTACATGTAGGTGTCAGAATACAATCATCTCCCTGCTAGGGAAGAGGTGATAAAGTGACTTAAGATAGTGGTGGTGATGGGATAGTGAGGGACTCCATGTCATTTGTCATCGCTGTCAGATGGGCTGGATTCACGTGGAAGGAGGTGCCGACGGCTCCTCTCCCACAGTTTGGTAATATTAGTGGTCTCTGTCTCACTGCTGCTTGTAACGCTATCTCTGAAGCTTGCGAGTGGTGGGCGTACTTTTGCCCCCTTAGCAGTCACGGAACCTTCAATGGCTTTACGGAGCTGAAAAAGAAAAAACACATTTACATGTTTCTGAATATATTTACCTAAGTCATGCACACAATACTGCTTTATTTATATAACAAGATGGTAACAACAAGATGAAGTGCCAGTGAATAGTGGAACAGGTCTGAATAACAGTAATAAAGATAGGCCCTGAAGCTTCCCCACCATGTGGCCACACCTTTTTTTTTTTTTTTTAGCCATTTCTAAATTAGATATGCGAGAAGCACAAACCTCTATATTGGTCTACTCGGAGGTCAGATAACTAGCCCCCACTAAACCTTCAAAATATACCAAGTACATCTCTATCTTTTCTAAGTAAGGTCTCCCCTCAACTCTGGGTTAAGACCTTGATTTATAAATATATAGTTATTTTCTATAGGTGTCTGCATAATGTATTTCTTTTCATTAAGATTCTCTCCGTGTACAAACCATTATAAAGGGATCTTTACCTCTCTCAGTGTCACCATTCCAATGAGGCGTCCTATGCTCGTTACATATGCATGATCCATCCCAAGTAATGAAAAGACATTGTGTGCCTGAAGAAAGAAGGGAGAGAAATGTGAGGAAATGTTTTATATAAATATTGTATATTAAGGACAAAAGGAAAACTGGAAAGGAGAAACAAGCAATAAAAATTAAGTTGAAGAGATGAAAGTGCAATGATACTTAGCTGATCGATGCTGGCGGTTCAGCGTTTCTTGCAGGTTGATATATGCTTCGGTATATGCTTCAATATAACAATTCCGATGCTGCCTGCTCTAAGTGCACGTCCTAAATACCGAATGTTAGCAGAACTTCCCTTCTGAATTGGAATTGTTTATTTCACCTAGGCGACCTCATTTCTGCCCTTTTTAGGGTCTCTGGGTGATGTGGTCCAATCAGAGTCTAAGTAACCCTATTTAAACCTGGTTTGATATTGGTTCAGTGTCATATCAAGGTTTCTACCTTAGAAAACTCACGAAACACACTAATCATGAACTATGTACAGTCTGGTATTGACCTCAGTTAGTTTATAGGAATTTTGAATATTTCTGTTCTCCTAACTCGTCTTGTTATACATTTTCCGACTATCTGTATTCCTGACCATAGCTAGTTATTTGACTTTGTCTCTCTCTTGTTTATTACGTTAATTCCAGCCATGCTAAGGCCTGGTAATATATCTTCATTTATTCTGTTGGGCCTCCCATTTCCTGAGTGTATGGGTATACTTCTCATGACAGAAACTGAGAAAGATAAATGGGAGGTGGGATGAAAACGGCAATTGATTACATACAGAAAAGAGTAACGCAAAACCAGACATGGTGAAAGGGCAACATAAAACATGTATGATGTTTTTCAATATTGTACCTTATGTAAGGAGGTTCTCTCTACCAACTGGAAAGGAGCAGGGTCTATCTGGCAGTTGTTAAAGTTGATTGGCTCATCCAGTTGAAGTTCTTCCCATTCCAGAACCTGATGTGGAGCATAATATGAAACATATCTAAGCAAACATACACCTGCCCAACACGTTGCAGAGACCTTAAGATAACATGCTATGTATAACCCACCACCCAAACCTCTACAAGTAGGGGAGCTGCTGCCATGGAAGTGTAAACCACACAAAATAAAACCTTATGAAGTTACATATCCAGAAAGCAAGGCTTGTGTAGGGATTTTGATTTTATCCTGCCCTTAAAATGTGTGCTTGCCGTTTCTCTCTTAAACCCCTTTTGTGTATCTAACCCCCTCTTCATGTCTCCTTTCTTCTTTTCGTACTCCCTTTTATTTTTCATATTTCTGATTTTATAACTTCAATGTGTCTCTCAAGCTCCCCAATTTAAATATCTTACCCTCCTTTAGTGTATCTCTACCTGTTTTGCCTTATTACCACAATTTTGTATCCCTTACACACCCCTTGTGTATCTACCCCTCCATGTATTTTGCCCTTCCCTCCTTTTGTGAGTGTTACCCCTCTCTGTAAAATGGACTCACTGATCTTCTCTACCTTTTCTGACAGGAAGCTGCTCGTTACTCATCCCCTGCCTCCTCCTGTCAAAGTGAACAGGTCCTTGTCAGATGGATTAGAGAATAAAGAAGATCCTCTACTGTAATTAATTAGGCCACACTATGGACAGTGACCAAAAGGAGATGGAGCTCTGTTGCCCCCCCAGCCCCATTAGAAAATTGCTCCCCTTGGGTCAATGCACCATAAATCTGCCTGTGCCGTCATATGGTGGAACCAGCCTGGCCAGAAAACCTTATACAAAACTGCATAAAAGTCTAATAAAAGAGGTTAGAAAGTTTCAATCATAGAACAACTTAAAGAACAAAAAAAGTAATTCTAATACTGTCCACACTACCGGAGAATTTTTACATTGCTATTTATTTCATAATATATTAAATAGGTATTTTGCATTTAAATGTTTTGAGTAGAAATGTACGTTTTAATTAAATATATATATTTAATAAAAATTACTTTTAATCCTTGAATAGGATTATACATTCTAATTTTGTTGTCTTTGAGGATGTATTTGATTAAGGTTTAATTGCTGACACTGCTAATGCAGATATTTAAAGGAACACTACAGGGTCAGGAACACAAACATGTATTCCTATGCCTATAGTGTTGAAACCACCATCTAGCCCCCCCTGCTCTCCACTTGCCTCCCTAAATATAGAAAAATCTTACTTGTATTCCAGTCTGGAGCTGCTGCCTCTGATCTCTGACTTCATTAGAAGTGGTGGTCTAAGCCAATCACAATGCTTCCCCATAGGATTGGCTGAGACTCTTAAGGAGGTAGATCAGGGGCAGAGCCAGCACAAGTCTAACACAGCCCTGGCCAATCAGCATCTCCTCATAGAGATGTATTGAATCAATGTACCTTTATGAGGAAAGTTCAATGTCTGCATGCAGAGGGTGGAAACACTGAATGTGGTTATGCACACTAGGCAGGACTGCCCAAGGAAGCATCTCTACTAGCCATATGAACACTGACAAAACTGTCACAATGATCTTTGGAACAGTACCTAAATTACACAAATTACACAATTCCCACCTAACCATCAAAACAAATTCAAATGGCACACTGACCGCAGTCCACTCTTTCAAATACTTGGGTATGATATTAGACCCCAATCTATCTTTTGGCCTGCACATAGAAAAGCTTGCATCTAAACTTTATCCAAAATTAGGTGCCCTGTACAGAAACAAAGCCTGCCTAAGCCCTACAGTAAAGGAAAAGATTGTACAGAAAATGCTGATGCCAATCATTGATTATGGGGATGTAGTATATACGTCTGCATCGCAATCCCACATTAATAAACTCAACACATTGTATAACTCGTTCTGCCGATTTGTGCTACAATGTAATTACAGGACCCATCATTGTGACATGCTAAAGGAACTAAACTGGCTATCGCTGGAATCCAGACACACCCTTCATCTTTCCAGACTTGTTTTTAAGAGCTTTTCTGGGAAACTCCCACCCTACCTGAACAAAATGCTTTCCCCAGCTGTTCCCACTTTCTATAAGCTCCGATCCAGTACAAGCACTTTACTTAGTCTACCTCAATATAAAAAGAAAGCGGCCCGATCCTCCTTCTCCTACAGAGCGCCGCAATTGTGGAACGACCTCCCGCACAATTTCAAATCTTCCCTAAGCCTAAAGTCATTTAAGAGATCCCTCTCTACATACCTCAAAACAGAATGCACGTGTCATGGTTGATTATATATTTCCTGCCTGTTCTATGTTAAATTTTGTATATATTGTGTATTAATATTGTTTTTGTATTTTGTTGTACCTAATTGTAACAATGCAATGATTTGTGGACCCAGGACATACT